ATACGAAGTGAATGAAGCAGGAAATTAGTTTCATTTATTCCTTAAGAGCTTACATGGCCAACTGCCAAATTCTCTGTCTGATGGGTGAGTCCCATATTCCCTACATAGCGCACGCCTAGGGCCCTGGTCAAAAGTAGTGCACTATATAGGGAATATGGTGCCATTTGGGACGCAGCCTCTGACTCTACATCTAGTATGCTATATCAAGAGTTTACCGTGCAGGGGGTGTCACACACATCCATACACCCCTTCAGCACCTTGTCTGCATACCAAATGGCACCCTATTCCCTATATAGTGCACTCCTTTGCTTTTTGGTCTTCATTTAAGGTTAGGGTTAGGCATTCAGGTTAGCTGTGTGGTTACGGTTAGGGTTAAGGCTATGGTTAGGTTTAAAATCTGATTTTGTGGTTATACCAGCTAGTGACCACTTTGCAGAGATGCCTCAAGGGCAAGATTCATGACAATCAATGCCAACCTGCACAACATACTCTCATCTACCCTTCACTCTGGTAAACAGTAGGGCTGCGTTCCAAATGGGACGCTATTCTCTACGTAGTGCACTACTTTCGATCAGAGTCCTATGGAAAATTCACTGTACAAAGGCATGCTTTTACATTCCTTTGGAAAGTTGGCCTATATATATATGCAACAGCTTGATTGTGTGAGTTACACTATCAGAATATACAGCAGGGATCACAGAGATCCTAATACATAAATATGTTGTATTTCATTCTGTGGCAGGCATTTTGAATTAGCTGATACTCATTGTTATGAAGTTTCTATTACATACATAAAATATAAATCCATGTAGTTCACTTAGTTCTGACTAGGAGAGTTTCTGAAGTATTTTTCTGCTCTGAGAGTTCGCCACTCTCGCGCCACCGCTCTGCCGCTCAGAGGAGTTCAGGAGGATTTTCAACAGGACACAGTCTGTTTGTTTGCCATTACGTCAGAGTTTACAGGGGTCATGCATGTCACTGAATAGTGGAGGGGAAAGAGAGAGAACCCATATATTACCACCAAGCAGATATCCCCATGTTCTCACCATAAAGCTATCAATAGAGAAGTTACGGATGAAGACACTTTGCCTGTGTCCCAAATTGCACCCTTTCTCTATATAGTGCATCCTGTTCCCTATTTGCACTATATAGGGAGTAGGGTGCCATTTGGGAGGAGTATAGAATGGAACCTTAGAGGCAGGGTTGGAGAGAAGGACCCAGGACAGTCAACGTACAGCGGGATCACATTTCCTCTGCACTTCCTGTAACGTAACCCCGCCCCTGAAGGCAGCCAGCAAGGGTTTTTGAGAATGAGTTAATAATGAATGGAGAGAGCTAAATGAGACCTGGTGTCTTTCTTTATCACCATCACAAGTAGGGCACAGCAATTAGTAGCTTAGTACTCTATGAAATAGAGTGACTACAGTGCAACATGGCACGTACAGTGCCTTCAGAAAGTATTCATACCCCTTGACTTATTCCACATGTTGTTGTGTTACACATCTACACACAATTCCCTACATTTTTGCAAATGTATTGCAAAGGAAATACAGAAATATCTCATTTACATAAATATTCACACCCCTGAGTCAATACTTTGTAAAAGCACCTTTGGCAGCGATTACAGCTGCAAGTATTTCTGGTAAGTCTCTAAGAGCTTTGAACACCTGGATTGTGCTAAAATATTTGCCCATTATTCTTTTCAAAACTATTCAAGCTCTGTCAAATTGATTGTTGATCATTACTAGCAAACCATTTTCAGGTCTTGCCATAGATTTTCAAGTAGATTTAAGTCAAAACTGTAACTCGGCCACTCAGGAACATTCACTGTCTTCTTGGTAAGCAACTCCAGTGTAGATTTGGCCTTGTGTTTTAGGTTATTGTCCTTCTGAAAGGTGAATTCATCTCCCAGTGTCTGGTGGAAAGCAGACTAAACCAGGTTTTCCTCTAGGATTTTGCCTGTGCTTAACTCCATTACATTTCTTTTTTATCCTGTAAAACTCACCAGTCCTGAACGATTAAAAGCATACCCATAACATGTTGCAGCCACCACTATGCTTGAACATACGGAGAGTGGTACTCAGTAATGTGTTGGATTTGCCCCAAACACAACACTTTGTATTCAGGGCACAAAGTGAATTGCTTTGCCAAATCTTTTGCAGTATTAATTTAGTGCCTTGTTGCAAACAGGATGCCTGTTTTGGAATATTTTTTATTCTGTACAGCCTTCCTTCTTTTCACTCTGTCATTTAGGTTAGTATTGTGGAGTAACTACAATGTTGTTGATCCATCCTCAGTTTTCTCCTATCCCAGCCATTAAACTCTGTAAATGTTTTAAAGTCACCAATGGCGTCATGGTGAAATCCCTTAGCGGTTTCCTTCCTCTCCGGCAACTGAGTTAGGAAGGATGCCTCTATCTTTGTAGTGACAGTGTATTGATACACCATCCAAAGTGTAATGAATAACTTCACAATGCTCAAAGGGATATTCAATGTCTGCTTTTTAAAAATGTTTAATCATCTACACAATAGGTGCCCTTCTTCCCGAGGCATTGGAAAACCTCCCTGGTGTTTGTGGTTGAATCTGTGTTTGAAATTCACTGCTCAACTGAAGGGCTTTACAGATAATTGTATGTGCAGAGATGAGGTAGTCATTAAAAAAATCATGTTAAACACTATTATTGCACCCAGAGTGAGTCCATGCAACTTATTATGTATCTTGTTAAGAACATTTTTACTCCTGAACTTATTTAGGCTGGCCATAACAAAGGGGCTGAATACTTATTGACTCAAGACATTTCAGCTTTTCATTTTTAATTAATTTGTAAAAATGTCATAAAACATAATTCCACTTTGACATTATGGGGTATTGTGTGTAGGTCAGGTGACAAAAAAAATAATCTCAATTTAATCCATTTTAAATTCAGGCTGTAACACAACAAATATGAAAAAAGTCAAGGGGTGTGAATACTTTCCGAAGGCACTAGGTTACATAATTATAATAATTACATAATTATAGACGATGACTGAGCAGTTAAGAATATGGAGGAAGGGAGGGTGATATGCACATCCTAAACTTGAGACTACCGGTGCTGGGCTAAAAAATAGTAATAAAGATTGAGTAGAAATGTTGTATATTTGGGTGCAGGAATAAATCACTAGGAAGCAGCAATATACCATGTTTGGGCTCTCGTTACTTTATCCCAGCTTAGAATATGGCCAATACATAAGGAATGACCCCATAGTGTCATCTTGGAGCCTTCCAACAGTCCCCTTGGTTTGGTATTCATTTCCCCACTTTGCTCAGAATAGAAGTTATACCAAGATGGTATTTTGAGTCTATTAACCTCAAAACGGGAAAATATACAATTTTACTGCAGAAAACTGGTCTAGGTGTTCTGCAGTATACTGAGGGTAAAAAATATTCAAAGTTACCTATAACATTGGTTTTCATCCATTTACCCTGATTTCTACCTGTTGGTCCTCAATACTACAACTTCACTCGAACTCTCCCCTCAAAGACTTGACTTGGATTTGCATGTCTTGGCAACAAATAGATATACAATCACATAATGGTCTGTAATCTGTATTATTATAATGTGTATTGTCAGAAATAGCAAGGCATAGAGAAGCAGTGAAATGTCTATTTATGATGAATCTGCATCATGCCACATCTGATCTTCACAATGGGAGATTCTCATTTGGGAAAAAATCTGTCCTCTCCTTGACTCGTTCCGTCCTCCTCTCCTCCGTGACCCGGAAACAGATAAGTGGTTGAGTGGTCGAGGGGTGTCAATTCATTAGTCGGTGAACCGAGGAGTATGCTTCCCTCCTTGATTACCTACTTCGGCCAAGGATGCACAAGTCTCCTGGCGGGAAGAGCAGGAGTGTTTGTTAATCCGCCACACCCTCTATGAATCAACGGTTGTTGAGCACATTTAAAAACCATACGCTACTTATCCTTTTATCTATAAAATGTATTGCACAACTAACTTAATTCGTTTTTTATCACTTGACACATTTATTTTGGGATTCCACCCCTGTAAACATTTGCCCGATGGGGGAAGGAGAGTCTCATTTCATACAAGCGCATTTTCGTTCACGATTACCTTTGACCTTTTCCAAAAGGAGGCGAGACCGGACGGAGGAGAGGACGCAGGAGTTGAGCAAAACCATCAGATTCTCCCTATATTCTGACCCACAGAATCAATTCTCCCTGGCACAGAAGCACTTCCAATCTTCACCACTGGGGGGCAGTCATCTGCATGTTTTCGTGGGGTTGTCATTTACTGATTTAGAGTAAATACACATTGGATATAGCCTATATTACAGATAGTGTATGTATACCGGCAATCAATAGATTTCAATGAAGAATTAAGTACTCACTGTGAGAATCTTAATTTCAGATCAGCAGCACTGTACTGTCCTTGGAATGGATGGCTGAGAAAGAAAAAAGAACAAGCCATTTTACATCAGAAGTTATTTTTAAAAAATCATTAATTGAGAAAGTATAGCAACATCATTTGCATGACACCGAAGATGGCCAATCCAACACCCAGCTCCCACCCTCCCATATAGTGTACTACTTTTGACCCTATGGGCCCTGGTCAAAAGTAGTGCAGGGAATAGGGTGCCATCTTACCCTGGGGTGATCTTGGCCATGCCTGGGTGTTTGTTGCTGAACCATACTCTGTAGTTGTGTGTGATCCTCCAGGCTGAGATGAAGGGAGCGCCCCAGTCTGCTAACAACTTCTCATTGTCTGGACACAGACACACACAAATGAGCATTTAGCTGTTGAAATCATCTGAGACAAATGACTAGAAGGAATATAGTCAAGTTCAGGGATGTAAGCAGGAAGTGATACAACATGGAAATAGTAGTAGGAGTTAGATCACGTTCAATGATATAGGACTAGAGGAAGGTGTAAAAAAAAAAAAAAAAGAGCATGACATCCTGAATAATTAGAAAAGAAACACATCCCTGGCTATAAGTGTCCTACCTTCTTGTAAGGTAGAGGACAGGAGAGAATGGACGTAAAGTCCAAACTGGGCCCTGATCCACTCGTCCCCTCCCTCCCAGCCTGTCCCGTCCAGAAACACGTCCTCGCGGTTCTCCGTGACGTGTTTGACCAGGTAGTCAGCGAAACGCAGGTCAGCCGTGGTCAGGCCTAGCAGCTTCCTCAACTCTGGGTCCCCAATCTGGATCTTAGCCTCCTCCACCTAGTAGGATGGACGGACGGATAGACAGTCACACACACACACCCACACACACACGGATAGACAGTCACACACACGGATAGACAGTCACACACACACACACACACACACGGATAGACAGTCACACACACACGGATAGACAGTCACACACACACGGATAGACAGTCACACACACGGATAGACAGTCACACACACACACACACACACACACACGGATAGACAGTCACACACACACGGATAGACAGACACACACACAGATATGGTCACACGTACGGACCCACAAACACAGCAGACAAAGCACTCAGTAACTTATGATACCTGGAAAAAAGAGGTCAAATCTGATAGGCAGCATACACGTGGGAGACTTAAACACTCATTATGAAAACAGCATAGAACTATAGAAAATAGAGAAGGACAAGATCACTATCTGTAACCTAGAATCAGAGAGAACCGGTTAAAAACAGACCAATGTTCTCCTAAGCTCTCCACTAATTCTCCTCTAAGAGTAGCAGACTGTCAGTACACATTTGAGACCACTGGACCTATGGGAGAGGGAGAGGGATGGAGAGAGGAGAGATGGAGGAAGAAGAGATGGAGAGGAGATGGAGATGAGATGAAGAGAGAGATGGAGATGGAGGGAGAAGAGATGGAGATGGAGGGAGAAGAGATGAAGAGAGAGATGGAGATGGAGGGAGAAGAGAAGGAGAGAGAGATGGAGGGAGAAGAGGAAGGAGATGAGATGGAGATGGAGGGAGAAGAGAAGGAGATGGAGGGAGAAGAGAAGGAGATGAGATGGAGATGGAGGGAGAAGAGAAGGAGATGAGATGGAGGGAGAAGAGAAGGAGATGAGATGGAGATGGAGGGAGAAGAGAAGGAGATGGAGGGAGAAGAGATGAAGAGAGAGATGGAGATGGAGGGAGAAGAGAAGGAGAGAGAGATGGAGATGGAGGGAGAAGAGAAGGAGAGAGATGGAGATGTGGGAGAAGAGATGGAGAGCAGGACTCACGTCAACGATAGCGTCACTCAGGTGCCTCTGCTGACGGAAGAGAATGTTGGTTGCCCCAGCGACAAAGCCGCGCACCGTCACGTCTGACAGCAGGTGGTGCTGCTGCAAGGCCATGTAGGGCAGGCACAGGTAACCCTGGCAACCACAGGCATAGAGGTTAGAGTGCGTGGATATTTTAGTCTTGATCTGTGGCTGTACGTATCAAGTGTCTCAGAGTAGGAGCGCTGATCTAGGATCAGGTCCTCTCTGTCTATGTAATCTTATTCATTGTGATCGAAAAGGAAAAACTATCTATGGCTCTGGTGAGAGGTACTTCCATTTTTTAAATCTTATGTTAAGTTGACGCTGGACAATAAAGCTTTTTGAATTTGAACTGAAGTACCTTCGTGAAGATGGTGAGAGGCTAGTCTAATCATAGTGTTGCCGCCCCTGCTCCACATATGTTTTTATATATTTTTATTTATTTAACCTTTATTTAACCAGGTAAGCCAGTTCATTTACAACTGCGACCTGGCCAAGATAAAGCAAAGCAGTGCGATAAAAACAACAACACAAAGTTACATATGGGGTAAAACAAAACAAAGTCAAAAATACCACAGAAAATCTATATACAGTGTGTGCAAATGTAGCAAGTTATGGAGGTAAGGCAATAAATAGGCCATAGTGCAAAATAATTACAATTAGTATTAACACTGGAATGATAGATGTGCAAGAGATGATGTGCAAATAGAGATACTGGGGTGCAAATCAGCAAAATAAATAACAATATGGGGATAAGGTAGTTGAGTGGGCTAATTTCAGAAGGGCTGTGTACAGGTGCAGTGATCGGTAAGGTGCTCTGACAACTGATGCTTAAAGTTAGTGAGGGAGATAAGAGTCTCCAGCTTCATAGATTTTTGCAGTTCGTTCCAGTCATTGGCAGCAGAGAACAGGAAGGAATGGCGGCCAAAGGAGGTGTTGGCTTTGGGGATGACCAGTGAGATATACCTGCTGGAGCGCAGACTACGGGTGGGTGTTGCTATGGTGACCAATGAGCTAAGATAAGGCGGAGATTTGCCTAGCAGTGATTTATAGATGGCCTGGAGCCAGTGGGTTTGGCGACGAATATGTAGTGAGGACCAGCCAACAAGAGCGTACAGGTCACAGTGGTGGGTAGTATATGGGGCTTTGGTGACAAAACGGATGGCACTGTGATAGACTACATCCAATTTGCTGAGTAGAGTGTTGGAGGCTATTTTGTAAATGACATCGCCAAAGTCAAGGATCGGTAGGATAGTCCGTTTTACGAGGGCATGTTTGGCAGCATGAGTGAAGGAGGCTTTGTTGCGAAATAGGAAGCCGATTCTAGATTTCACTTTGGATTGGAGATGCTTAATGTGAGTCTGGAATGAGAGTTTACAGTCTAACCAGACACCTAGGTATTTGTAGTTGTCCACATACTCTAGGTCAGACCCGTCGAGAGTAGTGATTCTAGTCGGGTGGGTGGGTGCCAGCAGCGTTCGATTGAAGAGCATGCATTTAGTTTTACTAGTGTTTAAGAGCAGTTGGAGGCTACGGAAGGAGTGTTGTATGGCATTGAAGCTCGTTTAGAGGTTTGTTAACACAGTGTCCAATGAAGGGCCAGATGTATACAAAATGGTGTCGTCTGCATAGAGGTGGATCTGAGAGTCACCAGCAGCAAGAGCGACATCATTGATATACACAGAGAAAAGAGTCTGCCCAAGAATTGAACCCTGTGGCACCCCCATAGAGACTGCCATAGGTCCAGACAACAGGCCCTCCGATTTGACACATTGAACTCTATCTGAGAAGTAGTTGGTGAACCAGGAGAGGCAGTCATTTGAGAAACCAAGGCTATTTAGTCTGCCAATAAGAATGTGGTGGTTGACAGACCCTGGATATGACCCTGGAGGCAGTGGTTCGATCCCCTCTTCCCGCCACTCACTTTCTGTGTTTTATTCCTTTCATCCATCTCCCCATTTCATATTCTCATCCATCGATCAATAAAACATCAACATACCCTAAAAAACATACCTTGGTGAAGATGGCTAGTGGCAGTCCGTACTGGTCCTCCTCCAGCCCAGAGACTAGGCCCTGAGTGACAGTCACCTGCCCCCCTGGCCCTGCTGACTGTCCCTGGGGCTGAACTGTGATGGGGATACCTGGCTCTGGGTCAAACGTCTCTGGGTGCTCCACCCCTAAACCCCCCAAACCTAAACCCCCTGTCTCTGAGTCTTTTGGAACGTCCTCCAGCACGCTAGGGTCCAGTGTCTCCCAGTCGCTCTCTGATGAGTCTGGGGAGGTACGGGAGGGGGGCTTGAGGTTTGTGCTATCCCCAGCTGGGGTGGAGGTGTCTGGGAGTGAGGCTGTCCGCATTGAGGCCTCCGTGGATGTGGTGGTAGTCTGGTCCTCACCGAAACCCTCCTCCCCTACCAGCTCCATGGTAGCGTTGGTGATGTCAGTGACAGAGACAGAGACAAACTCCTCAGCCCCCGACACACACTCCAGCAGGCTGATGTCCTCTGAGACACTGCTCTTGGACTGGTAGTGGGACGAGTCGGCCAGGCCGTGCTCTATCATACCTAGAGGAATGAACACACAAGATGATCTTTGACCTTAGAACCACCATTATGAAGAAGAATCAAACACTCAAGAGGAAAAACTAAGGGGGCATGAGTAGAATCATAATGATAGGACCTCTATGCTGGTGCTCACCTGGGAACAGTGACAGTACTGTCATCAGAGTTTCTACGAGTCTGTTGACTGGAGATACGTAGAACAGGACCTGGAAGAGGAAACACAAACACACACACACACACACACACACACACACACACACACAGACAGTAAGGCCATGTATTCTGACTACGAACCCCTAGAGGGTGATATGCCAGTAATGTCTTGTGGTATGATGATGATTACTGATGTTGTGCTATCTTGTTATGAAGTCACTGTGTGTGGTGTCATTTATGGTATGCTCTCATGTTGTTGATGACTCACATGCCCAAAGTAAATTGCCCATTGTGGTGATTATTTTTTTATAGAATTGAAATCCTCACCTTCTTCTCCAGCAGAATCAGTTTGAAGAGGATAAGAACCTAAAAGGGTGAATGAGAGACGGCAGAGTTAAGGAAGCATGTCAATAGCACCACAACAACTAACTACGATCTTGGAGGATGTTTCCAGGGGGACACTATATTCCTTTTATAGGGCACTCCTTTTGACCAGGGCACATAGAGCTCTGGTCAAGGCACTCTGGTCAAAAGTAGTGCACTACACAGGGAATAGAATGCCATTTGGTAGGCAGTCTAGATGTTTACAAGCCATTTGATTGCCTTAAAACACATTAATTTACCTTGTGTCGAAAGTGCAGTATTAAATCTCTTGGTGACATACCTGTCGGGAGAAGATTTGCATATCAAGAATGTGATATTTGCCTAAAGGAGGACATTTCTATCATACGTGTGAAATTGCATCCCAAATGCCACCCTATTCCATATATAGTGTTATTTATTTTTTTACCAGAGCTCTATGGGCCCTGGTCAAAAGTAGTGCACTATATAGGGAATAGGGTGCCATTTGGGACGCACACCACATTACTCAATGTCACAAGTCCAACAAAAAGAAGACCGAAGACATCCCTGAAGAGGATAGTCCTGTTTCTGTAAGCTGATTTGAACACCATAACAAGTGCCACAATGACACACCTGACTGACAGATTTCTATGGCTACTCTAGGACAGACACCATAGACACAGGATCATTCAACAGCAGCCATTCTAGTAAGAGCAGATTGCTAGTGTGAGACTAACATGCCCCAGAGCCCTGGCCTGTGTCCCAAATGGCAAGCTAAATAGGGAATCAGGTGTCATTTGGAATGGACCTCTTGTGTTGGATCCAGATAGAATAGCAGAAATGTTTTACCCAGAAACATGTGTGATCCCTTCAGAGCCGTTCCTCTCAGAGAACCGTTCATGTGTTCATACAATTCCTACAGATGGAGGGAGAGAAAGAAAGAGAAAGAGATAGAAAGAGAGTCAGAGAGAGTGAACAGGTAAGACAAGGTTCTAAGTTCAATGTTTCATAAACACAAAAGGTCACAAATCAAAGAAGAAAGGGATTCAGGCCTTTGTGATTCAATGCTCTGAAAACACTCACTTTCAATATGGATATCTGTGAGAAGTCTTTCTCCTCAAAGTAGGCGTGTGTGATGAGCTGTAGTTTAGCTTGGAGAAGACCGTACAGAGGCTGGGGAGGAAGAGGAGAGAAACACCCATCAGTGAGTGAGTGAGTGACTAAGTGAGTGAGGGCAGTCAGCCCAGCAAAGTGTGTGGTGATTAGCACCTGTCAGTTTGTTTATGTGAGGAAGGGAACCAACTTCTCTTAGTCCTGACTAGAAATAGCCGTGCTGAGCCGGGGGTGGTGGGGTAGGGGTAGGAGTGGGGGCCAGCTGAGGTATGGGCTGAGAGGATCAATGGGTCAGACAGACATCAACACTCTTATCAACAACAATAAGTTATAGAAGCTACTTCACTCACTGACTGTTGTCCTGTGGGGATTTACAGTATACACACTATAAACACTGTTTTGGTGACAAGATTAATAAAAACTATATTCTAATGACTTATCCTGGAAAATGATTAAAAACGGTCTACACAGCCAATGATTCTGGTGCCATTCTCCCCCATACCATCTCTCATTACCCAAGGAAGCGTGCCCCTTCCTGCCACCCCCTGCCCTGTCAGCTGTTCCCTAACTGTGAATTATGGGAGCTGTCCTCTGACCCCCAGGGGTCACATGCTACATCCCAAATGGCACCCTATTCCCTATGGGGGCTCTGGTAAAAAGTTGTGCACCAAATAGGGAATAGGGTGCCATTTGGGACGAAGCCAGAGTGCTCCAGGAGACCTTTTCCCAGAGAGATCCCCCAGCCCCACCTCCAGCCCCCAGTCTCAAACCGCCAACAGACGTCAGACAGACAGGAGTATCCTGGGGATGTCATGTCAACAACAGGACCACGAGGCTGACATTCCCATCTCCCCCTGCTTCTAGACCCTGTCCCTCCTTCCTTCCTCTCTCCCTATCACAACCTTGTCACATGTCACATGTTAGCTGACTCGCCACTCGACTGAGGACACACACCTCCCCCTCACACACACACACTCAACACTCGACTGAGGACACACACCTCCCCCTCACACTCACCACTTGACTGAGGACACACACCTCCCCCTCACACACACACTCACCACTCGACTGAGGACACACACCTCCCCCTCACACACACACTCACCACTTGACTGAGGACACACACGCTCTTCTGGACCGTCTCCCTGGTGACGTCAGCCAGTCGGACCTTCAGGGACTGAAAATGAAAAACAACCAACATTTTGAGGCCTACACCTAATGACACGTCAGCAAACAGTCAGCAAACAGTCAGCAAACATAACCACAGAGAAAAGAAGAGACTACTCTGCTTTATTTTCTGTAAAGTAGCAGAAGACACAAATATTCAATAGACACAAATATTCAAGTGCCATGAGGGGGAACCAACCTTAGCTTCTATTTGGCGATAGCAGGAGACTCCGTACACGCATTTCATATCTGCTCCACTGAAAGGAGGGAGGTGAAAGTACACAGTGTCTGCAAAACAAAACATCAACATCAATCACATCATTAGTGGCTATTTCAAAGAAGGATCTTCTTGCAATAACTGTGATATGTGGATGTTTTTCCTACAAACATCTCTGGACCATTACTGTCCTCTGTATTTAATTAGGTTGATTGTTAAATTAGCCAATCAAGAATGCAACAATAATTTCTGCATTGGCAAATTAAAATTACACAGTAGACTGAACATCTGTTGTGGAAATAAAATATAACTGAAATATCTGTGACTTCTTCAATAAACTGATGAGGTTCCAAGCACTTGACAGTTACATAAAGCGAATAAGAGCATCAAGAGGACAACATAAAAAGGAGGAATCGGTTGTCCTTGTCTACTGTATGGGGGAAAGGTATGCACTCACTAACTGGAAGTCGCTCTGGATAAGAGCGTCTGCTAAATGACTAAAATGTAAATGTACTGTGGATATTACGTGGATACAAGGAGCAATTCATTCGATTTGATGAGAGAAGGTCGGGTCGACTCTGGACCAATGGCCATGATGATGAGGGAGTGGTTTTCTAATGTTGTTAAGGCTGACTCTGATAGCTACTGGAACACAGCAGCAACCAAGGACACATCACATCTCTACAAGGCCAGTGAGTGATTAAGTAGGCAGGGCCAGGCAGGGCCAAGCAGTCAGGATGGGCCACAGCTGTACTGCCTTGTGCCTTTCGCTCCCAAGTAGCACTATGCTCTGCTCTGCTCTACTCCCATGAACTCTGCCATCCCATGCATGAGTCTGTCTCGTGTTGTTGATGCTGTTGCTTTTATAGCCTGACTGCACTGCAGCAGAATCGCTCCGTAATAAAATCTACTGCGTCACAGAGGGTTTATTTGCATCTATCAAGCAAGCAGCCGGTGAACAAACACACACACTTGGCCTACAGTGTGAAATATGGAATAGCTGAGGACTTGTTCAGAAATTGTATAATCACAGACTGAAAAATATCGGAGTGTAGTTAGGCTAATACTCAGTCTTCTTCTATAGCTGTATGTAGGCCTACAATCACAGAACAAGAATGAGATTCTAATTCTATGCCTATAACACAATCTCTTAAAGGGGGGCTGAACTTCCTGAGTTAGCCTAGGTTTATATTCTCTTCATTAGGAAATGCGACTGAGAACGAGATTTTTGGGTTTTGGAGGTGTGCTTTGATGTGGATGTCTCTTGTGTGTGTGTGTGTTCGAACGTGGGAAGCGTTCTGCCAAAATAGTACACAGTTACAGTCACTCATCCTTCTAGATGACTTGAAACAGTCTAACCAGGTATTGTGTCAGGAAGTAGCTTAGACTAGCTAGCCAACTTCTTTTTTCAATTAGCTTCAGTCAGCAGGTGTGCACCTTGTGGCAAAATTGGTTTGACTTTGGATAGCCGATATGTGGGGCTAGTTAGGGACCGTCAATAAATTACACAATGTAAATGGGACAATATTTTCATGTTGCACACCTTTTAGTTGTCTCATTATATGTTTTCAATATTTGTAGATGAATTTCTACAATTTATAGTTGGTTTGAGGTTTTTAAGTCATTGAAATTTGAGCTATTGACATTTAAAAATATTGTCCCATGTACATTGTGTAATTTATCGATGGTCCCCAACTAGCCTCATAGGGATATTGAATGTCAAACCAAATTGACCATGGGCATTAAGATCGGGTCCTGGGCAGCTGCACTCCGAATTGATGACTACTTGGGTGCTGCCAGCTGTGGGCATGTGGGCATGATTTAAATAAACCCAACCTAAGGAAACGGTTACGGTTCCCTTCATTCTGTGACATTACATTTTTTCAAGTGACTTTAAGACCAGAATTATCCTATTTACACTTTGTAGTCAATTTTGGCACTATAAATGTTTCTGACTCATATCGATGCCACATAGGATGTTTTCAAAAGTAGAAGTTGCTTTAATATTGTTCAGCTTTCTCAGCTAACTAGACCTAGGCCTAACCTCTACATTTCCACTAGAAAGAAATAGGCGTGTTCCAAAAAAATACTGTGAACCAAGTCCACTCCCTCTCTCCCTCTCTTTCCCAGCTCAACAACACAAGCCAGGCAGGCCAGCAGACCAAAGGAAAATCACATCACATGATGAATGCTAACTAACGAGCCGGCCTGTTGGCCTCAGTGACATTATGAACAGAAGGAGGCTTTGACAAGATGGAGGGCCTTAGGGCAACACTACCCAGCAGAGCAACACTATCACAGATACACTGCACGGCAGCCTTCGGAAAGTATTCAGACCCCTTCACTTTTTCAACATTTTGTTACGTTACAACCTTATTCTAAAATGGATTAATACCATTTTTCCTCATCAATCTACACACAATACCCCATACTGATAAAGCGAAAACAGGTTTTTAGATATTTTTGCAGATCTATTAATAATAGAAAACAGAGATACCTTACTTACATATGTATTCTGCCCCTTTTCTATGAGACTAGAAATTGAGCTCAGGTGCATCCTGTTTCCATTGATCATCCTTGAGATATTTCTACAACTTGATTGGAGTCCACCTGTGGTAAATTTAATTGATTGGACATGATTTGGAAAGGCATACACTTGTCTATATAAGGTCCCACAGTTGACAGTGCATGTCAGAGAAAAAACCAAGCCATGAGGTCGAAGGAATTGTCCGTAGAGCTCCGAGACAGGATTGTGTCGAGGCACAGATCTGGGGAAGGGTACCAAAAAATATCTGCAGCATTGAAGGTCCCCAAGAACACAGTGGCCTCCATCATTCTTAAATGGAAGAAGTTTGGAACCCCCAAGACTCTTCCTAGAGTTGGCCGCCTGTCCAAGCTGAGCAATCGGGGGAGAAGGGCATTGGTCAGGGAGGTGACCAAGAACCTGATGGTCACTCTGACAGAGCTCTAGAGTTCCTCTGTGGAGATATGAGAACCTTCCAGAAGGACAACAATCTCTGCAGCACTCCACCAATCAGGCCTTTATGGTAGAGTGCCCAGACAGAAGCCACTCCTCTAGGAGACTGTTTTTTATCATTAATAGATTTGCAAAAATATCTAAAAACCTGTTTTCGCTTTATCAGTATGGGGTATTGTGTGTAGATTGATGAGGAAAAATGGTATTTAATCCATTTTAGAATAAGGTTGTAACGTAACAAAATGTTGAAAAAGTCAAGGGGTCTGAATACTTTCCGAATGCACTATAACTAGCTTAAAATATCATTTCCAGCATTCCTGGTGATTCTGCACTCTAACATGAGCAGTGGCCTATTTAGGCCGAAGCCAAACATGATGACAGAGATGTAGTCCATTTTTTCACTGAGGTAATGGTGACTCATCAGCAGAGATGATTTTTACTTAATTTATTTAACTATCAATTTACCAGGTAAGTTGGCTGAGAACACAGTCATGCAGGGGCAAAGAGAGGGGTTGAATGTTTCACCTGACATTTTATTAAAACTATCAGTAGCAGTGTAATTACACATGGGAGAGATGAGAAAGAAAAGAGGCAAAAGTGACTGGGTGCGTCCCAAATTGCACCCTATGACAGCCCTATGGGCCCTGGTCAAAAGTAGTGCACTATAAAGGGAATAGAGTGCCATTTGGGACGCAACCTCTATGTATCTTCTTGATAGTTGTGTGCCCCGTCAGGCAGGGTTAAGGTTAGGGTCAAAGTTGGGGTTAGGGGTCAATGTACCTTCTTGGTAGTTGTGTGCCCCGTCAGGCAGGGCCAGGAAAGGCAGGTATTTCCACTCCTCAGGCAGGTTGTTGCTGTCATGGCCCTCCTCTGGGATGAGTGGAGGGTAGGAGTATTCCACCTGAGAAGAGAGAGAGAAACGAACCCACAAAACTAAAATGCTAGCTATCTTAGGCATGGACCAGATTGACTTAGCATAGGCCAGGGAATAAAATGACTCAACTAAAAGCAAATAGGTCAAATGCACACAATTAGAAAATGAGGCTCTCAATTTGTTAGGGAAAGTAATAGCTCATACACTGAAGATAGCATGCGAGAGTGTACAGTAAGGACAATATGCATAACAACAGTAGCCCAGATGAAGAGGGCTATTCACACTCATCATTATGTGACTATGAGTCACAGCAGCCTCTGGATATTGTACGGAACATGTTCAAGGTCCTGTTTGTTATCAGCTGTTCATAAACTAGTTAAACAAGACGCCTGTAGAGGAAAAGGCCAAATAACCACAACCTTGGCAAATAGTACATCATATGTGATATGCAATTATTATGCAATTGCTAATTTATAAAGTCTACATTTGCTAAGGAAATATGCCATTGGTGCTGTGCAAATCAAAAGTCCAGGATGATTTGTTGCAATTGTGAAACTGTAGGGCTATATTTTTGCAGTTCAGTAAAGGCAATAAAATAACTGGGAGTACGTCCCAAACAGCACCCTATTCCCTATGTAGTGCACTCCTTTTGATAATGGAACAATAGAAACCAGAGAGCTCTCACTCTCCTTAGCACCATATCCATGTCCCCTCCCCAGTCCCTACACCAGTCATGAATCCCTCTATTGACGGAGCCAGTCACGTGACAGACAGGTGTCATCTAGGCTCTAGAGCCATGAAAGCACAGGTGGACAGGTGAGGTGTAGGACACACCAGGTGGACAGGTGAGGTGTAGGACACACCAGGTGGACAGGTGAGGTGTAGGACACACCAGGTGGACAGGTGAGGTGTAGGACACACCAGGTGGACAGGTGAGGTGTAGGACACACCAGGTGGACAGGTGAAGACCCACCCAACTACCCCCACAGAGAGGTCTCTCTCTCCCTAACTGCAGTTCTGAGGGGAGGGGGAGTGAGGCTCTAAAATACCCCACACTGAGGATTCATCCCAAATGGCACCTACACCCTATATAGTGCACTACTTTTACCCAGGTCCCATAGAGAGAGAGAGAGAGAGATGTTTTTGTTTCTTCTACCCTTTTGTTTATTTCACTTTCTTTGGCAATGTAAACATATGTTTCCCATGCCAATAAAGCTCCATTGAATTGAATTGAGAGAGAGAAAGAGCAAGAGAGGGATAAGTAGAGAGCGAGGCCCTCCCGCCAGAAAGACAAGAACCTAATCTAGTGATACCCAGTCGGTCTCCTATCAGGTAACAGACAATACCACTCCACTTCCCTGTCTGTGTCCCAAATGCCACCATACTCCCTATATAGTGCACTACATTTGACAAGGGCCCTTAGGACTCTGGTCAAAAATAATGCACTATAAAAGGGAATAGAGTGCAATTTGAGATGCAGCCTACCTCTAGTGAGAACCTAGGCTATTACCTGACAAAGAAAACCCTCTGTCCTGTCTGGTCTGTCCTGTTGTGCACAGGTTTGGTGGTCACGAAGGGGAGGGGGAGGGTTTGGGCCTGTTTGGTGGTCACAAGGGGGAGGGGGAGGGTTTGGGCCTGTTTGGTGGTGGTGGTCACAAGGGGGAGGGGGAGGGTTTGGGCCTGTTTGGTGGTGGTGGTCACAAGGGGGAGGGGGAGGGTTTGGGCCTGTTTGTCACGCAGACATGCACACATAACCCACTTTTATCGGTCTGTCAGGATGAGCAGCAGCTGAGTCTCCGAGAGCTCTGAAACAGGCAGACTTTCTTCAGGACAAAGGGGCAGGCAGCAGGTAGAGAGCAGCCAGTAACAAAGAAACAAACACAAAGTGGTCGTCGCCTTCTTGTTGGACTTCTTGCAGCAGGCTGTTGGCTCTGTGGTACTTCGAAATTACTTAGAAATGGCTAAGATGGCGTTATCGGAACAGAAACTGACAGAGCCTAATACAAATTGATTAATAATAATATTTTGTCCAATCTGTGGCTGCAATGCAGAACAAGTCGTAGCCTAGGATTTTCTATGTTTTTTTATAAAAACTTCTGTGCGTGCAGTATGCTAGGCTACTTTATTGAGCAGGAGCTATTGAGTATAACTCGCACACATACAGCAAGGCCTGTGGGCAAATTGTGTTTGTTGAAAACATGTGCAGTAAATCTCCCCATCCATTCTTTATGGGGGACTACTGTCCTCGTGTACCTCTGGAGGGATAGTCCCTCCTCTTCAGAAGCTCTATAGATAATATCTCAAGTTTACTGCACTAATCTTCTTGTCCCTGTTAATTTCACACACAACCTTTCACTAGGTTACTAACCAGGTGTAAACACTGCCTTTAGACCTTGTTGTGGACATTATATGCAGCGTGTCTGTCAAGCGCTCCTTCATTTGTCAAGGACTCTCTAAGCTTTATCCTAATCCCTAAAAAACAAAATCACAGTGACAACAACATTGCAGGCTGTGACTGTGGATATCTCTTTGGATTTGCCACTAATACAGTTGAAGTCAGAAGTTTACATACACCTTAGCCAAATACATTTAAACTCAGTTTTTCACAATTCCTGACATTTAATCCAAGTAAAACTTCCCTGTCTTAGGTCAGTTAGGATCACCACTTTATTTTAAGAATGTGAAATGTCAGAATAATAGTAGAGAGAATGATTTATTTCAGCTTTTATTTCTTTCATTACATTCCCAGTGGGTCAGAAGTTTACATACACTCAATTAGTATTTGGTAGCATTGCCTTTAAATTGTTTAACTTGGGTCAAACGTTTCGGGTAGCCTTCCACAAGCTTCCCACAATAAGTTGGGTGAATTTTGGCCCATTCCTCCTGACAGAGCTGGTGTAACTGAGTCAGGTTTGTAGGCCTCCTTTAGGCTTTTTCAGTTCTGCCCACAAATGTTCTATAGGATTGAGGTCAGGGCTTTGAGATGGCCACTCCAATACCTTGACCTTGAAGTATGCATGGGGTCATTGTCCATTTGGAAGACCCATTTGCGACCAAGTTTAACTTCCTGACTGATGTCTTGAGATGTTGCTTCAATATATCCACATAATTTTCCTTCCTCATGTCGTCATCTATTTTGTGAAGTGCACCATTCCCTCCTGCAGCAAAGCACCCCCACAGCATCATGCTGCCACCCACGTGCTTCACGGTTGGGATGGTGTTCTTCGGCTTGCAACTACCCCCTTTTTCCTCCAAACATAACGATGGTCATTATGGCCAAATAGTTATATTTTTGTTTCATCAGACCAGAGGACATTTCTCCAAAAAGTATGATCGTTGTCCGCATGTGCAGTTGCAAACCGTAGTCTGGCTTTTTTATGGCGGTTTTGGAGCAGTGGCTTCTTCCTTGCTGAGTGGCCTTTCAGGTTATGTCGATATAGGACTGCTACGCAGACGACACAATTAATTTTCTCCTTTCCCCCTTCTGATAACCAGGTGTTGAATCTGCATGTCTGGCAGACATATCAGTGTGGATGTCAGATCACCACCACAAGCTGAACCTCGGCAAGAAGGAGCTGCTCTTCCTCCCGGGGAAGGACTGCCCGCTCCATGATCTCGCCATCACGGTTGACAACTCCATTGTGTCCTCCTCCCAGAGTGCAAAGAATCTTGGCGTGACCCTGGACAACACCCTGTCGTTCTCCGCTAACATCAAAGCGGTGACCCGATCCTGCAGGTTCATGCTCTACAACATTCGCAGAGTACGACCCTATCTTACACAGAAAGCGGCACAGGTCCTAATCCAGGCACTTGTCATCTCCCGTCTGGATTACTGCAACTCGCTGTTGGCTGGGCTCCCTGCCTGTGCCATTAAACCCCAACAACTTATCCAGAACGCTGTAGCCCGTCTGGTGTTCAACCTTCCCAAGTTCCCTCATGTCACCTCGCTCCTCCGCACACTCAACTGGCTTCCAGTTGAGGCTCGCCTCTACTACAAGACCATGGTGCTTGCCTACGGAGCTGTGAGGGGAACCGCACCTCCTTACTTTCAGGCTCTGACCAGACCCTACACCCAAACGAGGGCACTACGTTCATCCACCTCTGGCCTGCTAGCCCCCCTACCTCTACGGAAGCACAGTTCCCGCTCAGCCCAGTCAAAGCTATCCGCTGCTCTGGCACCCCAATGGTGGAACAAGCTCCCCCACAACGCCAGGACAGCGGAGTCACTGACCACCTTCCGGAGACACTTGAAACCCTACCTCTTTAAGGAATACCTGGAATAGTATAAAAGTAATCCTTCTACCCCCCCCTCCCCCACTCCCCCATAAAGAAAAAAAGTGGTTGTCCCACTGGCTATCATAAGTTGAATTATTATTTTTTTTGTTCTTTTTTTCCACCTTTATTTAACCATGTAAGCCAGTTGAGAACAAGTTCTCATTTACAACTGCGACCTGGCCAAGATAAAGCAAAGCAGTGCGATAAAAACAACAAAAACAGAGTTACATATGGGGTAAAACAAAACAAAGTCAAAAATACAACAGAAAATATATATACAGTGTGTGCGAATGTAGTAAGTTATGGAGGTAAGGCAATAAATAGGCCATAGTGCAAAATAGTTAAAATTTCGTATAATACTGGAATGATAGATGTGCAAATAGAGATACTGGGGTGCAAATCAGCAAAATAAATAACAATATGGGGATGAGGTAGTTGGGTGGGCTAATTTCAGAAAGGCTGTGTACAGGTGCAGTGATCGGTAAGCTGCTCTGACAACTGATGCTTAAAGTTAGTGAGGGAGATAAGAGTCTCCAGCTTCAGAGATTTTTGCAGTTCGTTCCAGTCATTGGCAGCAGAGAACAGGAAGGAATGGCGGCCAAAGGAGGTGTTGGCTTTGGGGATGACCAGTGAGATATACCTGCTGGAGCACAGACTACGGGTGGGTGTTGCTATGGTGACCAGTGAGTTAAGATAAGACAGGGATTTGCCTAGCAGTGATTTATAGATGACCTGGAGCCAGTGGGATTGGCGACGAATATGTAGTGAGGGCCAGCCAACAAGAGCGTACAGGTCACAATGGTGGGTAGTATATGGGGCTTTGGTGACAAAACGGATGGCACTGTGATAGACTACATCCAATTTGCTGAGTAGAGTGTTGGAAGCTACTTTGTAAATGACATCGCCGAAGTCAAGGATCGGTAGGATAGTCAGTTTTACGAGGGCATGTTTGGCAGCATGAGTGAAGGAGGCTTTGTTGCGAAATAGGAAGCCGATTCTAGATTTCACTGGATTGGAGATGCTTAATGTGAGTCTGGAATGAGAGTTTACAGTCTAACCAGACACCTAGGTATTTGTAGTTGTCCACATACTCTAGGTCAGACCCGCCGAGAGTAGTGATTCTAGTCGGGTGGGCGGGTGCAAGCAGCGTTCGGTTGAAGAGCATGCATTTAGTTTTACTAGTGTTTAAGAGCAGTTGGAGGCTACGGAAGGAGTGTTGTATGGCATTGAAGCTCATTTGGAGGTTTGTTAACACAGTGTCCAATGAAGGGCCAGATGTATACAAAATGGTGTCGTCCGCATAGAGGTGGATCCGAGCGTCACCAGCAGCAAGAGCGACATCATTGATATACACAGAGAATAGAGTCGGCCTGAGAATTGAACCCTGTGGCATGCCCATAGAGACGGCCAGAGGTCCAGACAACAGGCCCTCCGATTTGACACATTGAACTCTATCTGAGAAGTAGTTGGTGAACCAGGCGAGGCAGTCATTAGAGATCACCTACCATTTCGAATCCCACCGTACCTTCTCCGCTATGCAATCTGCCAATAAGAATGCGGTTTGTTGACAGAGTCGAAAGCCTTGGCCAGGTCGATGAAGACGGCTGCACAGTACTGTCTTTTATCGATCGCGTTTATAATATTGTTTAGGACCTTGAGCGTGGCTGAGGTGCACCCATGACCAGCTCGGAAACCAGATTGCATAGCGGAGAAGGTACGGTGGGATTCGAAATGGTCGGTGATCTGTTTGTTAACTTGGCTCAAATACTTTCGAAAGGCAGGGCAGGATGGAAATAGGTCTATAACAGTTAGGATCTAGAGGGTCACCCCCTTTGAAGAGGGGGATGACCGCGACAGCTTTCCAATCTCTGGGGATCTCAGACGTTACAAAAGAGAGTAATAGGGGTTGCGACAATTTCGGCAGCTAATTTTAGAAAGAAAGGGTCCAGATTGTCTAGCCCAGCTGATTTGTAGGGGTCCAGATTTTTTAGCTCTTTCAGAACATCAGCAGTCTGAATTTGTATGAAGGAGAAGCGGGCGGGGCATGGGCAAATTGCAGCGGAGGGTGCAGAGCTGGTGTCCGGGGTAGTGGTAGCCAGGTGGAAAGCATGGCCAGCCGTAGCAAAATGGTTGTTGAAATTCTCGATTATTGTAGATTTATCGGTGGTGACAGTGTTTCCTAGCCTCAGTGCAGTGGGCAGTTGGGAGGAGGTGCTCTTATTTTCCATGGACTTTACAGTGTCCCAAAACTTTTTGGAGTTAGTGCTACAGGATGCAAATTTCTGTTTGAAAAAGCTAGCCTTTGCTTTCCTAACTGATTGTGTATATTGGTTCCTGACATCCCTAAAAAGTTGCATATCGCGGGGGCTGTTCGATGCTAATGCAGTACGCCACAGGATGTTTTTGTGCTGGTCAAGGGCAGTCAAGTCTGAGGAGAACCAGGGGCTATATCTGTTCTTAGTTCTGAATTTTTTGAATGGGGCATGCTTATTTAAGATGCAGAGGAAAGCACTTTTTAAGAACATCCAGGCATCCTCTACTGACGGAATGAGGTCAATATCCATCCAGGATACCCGGGCCAGGTCAATTAGAAAGGCCTGGTCGCTAAAGTGTTTTAGGGAGCGTTTGACAGTGATGAGGGGTGGTCGTTTGATCGCGGACCCATTACAGACGCAGGCAATAAGGTAGTGATCGCTGAGATCCTGGTTGAAGACAGCGGAGGTGTATTTAGAGGGTAAATTTGTCAGGATGATATCTATAAGGGTGCCCATGTTTACAGATTTAGGGTTGTACCTGGTAGGTTCGTTGATCATTTGTGTGAGATTGAGGGCATCTAGTTTAGATTGTAGGTTGGCTGGGGCCAGTTTAGGTCACCAAGCAGTATGAACTCTGAGGATAGATGGGGGGCAATCAGTTCACATATGGTGTCCAGGGCACAGCTCGGGCTGAGGGGGGTCTGTAGCAAGCGGCAACAGTGAGAGACATTTCTGGAAAGGTGGATTTTTAGCAGTAGAAGCTCAAACTGTTTGGGCACAGACCTGGATAGTACGATAGAGCTCTGCAGGCTCTCTACAGTAGCTTGCAACCCCACCCCCTTTGGCAGTTCTATCGAGACGGAAAATGTTGTAGTTGGGGATGGACATTTCTGAATTTTTGGTGGCCTTCCTAAGCCAGGATTCAGACATTGCTAGAACATCAGGGTTGGCGGAGTGTGCTAGCGCAGTGAATAACTCAAACTTAGGAAGGAGGCTTCGGATATTAAACGTGCAAGAAACCAAGGCTTTTACGATTACAGAAGTGAACAAATGATAACGCCTGGGGAGTAGGTGTGATACTGGGGGCTACAGGGCCTGGGTTAACCTCTACATCACCAGAGGAGGAGTAGAATAAGGATATGGCTAAAGGCTTTAAGTACTGGTCTTCTAGTGCGTTGGGTACAGAGAAAAAAAGGGGCAGGTTTTCGGGCGTTGTAGAATAGATTCAGGGCATTATGTACAGAAAAGGATATGGAGGGATAGGAGTACAGTGGAGGTAAACCTAAGCGTTGGGTAACGATGAAGGAGATAGCATCACTGGAGGCACCGATTGAGTCGGTCTCCGCGTGTATGGGGGGGTGGGACAAAAGAGCTATCTAAGGCCGGTTTAGCTGGGCTGGGGGATCTACAGTGAAATAGTACAATAACAAATAAGTGAAACAGCAATAAGCAAGGCATATTGACATGGGAGAGAGGCATAAAGCAATCACAGGTGTAATTCGAGAGAGCTAAGACAACAGCTGGTAATGGCGACAAAGTTTGGGCTGAGGCTAAACATAAACAGGATGCGGTACCGTAAAATGGAACAGTCCAGCAGGCATCAGCTGTATAGCGGAGTTATCATAAGGTCCGGTGAACAGCAATAGGAGAGTTCGGAGGTAGTTCGGGGGCTGCTACAGCACTAGCTAGCAAGAGGCCACGGCTAGCGTGTGCTAGCGGGCCGGGGCTAGCAGATGGATCTTCGTGGTCGACGTCGTAACGGGAAGCCTGTTGTTACCACATCAGACGATTTCGTCGACAGAAGAGTCGTGTTGGATCGGCGGGGCTCCGTGTCGACACTAGGAGGTCCCGTCCGGTTGACAAGGAGGTAGATAGCCGGGAGATGGGCCTGGCTCAAGGCTAACTCAGGGCTGATTAGCCAACCACAAAACGTCCATTTGGTTGCAGCTAGCTAATGGTTCAGTGATTCCAGCAGAAAATACGATATGTTCAGGGTCGATAACGCGCTGTGCAGACAGTGCAGACTGGCCGAATAATAGTCCAGGCTAGACCTGGCTGGCTGGTATGTAGTGCAGACCACGGCCACGGACAATGGTGAAGACCGCTAAACGGTGGCTAATAGCAAGTAGCTAGTTAGCTGGCTAGCTGGCTAGTTTCAGCCAGAGGTTCTGGATAAAAATGTATGAAGAAACAACAGAATCCGTTCCACATTGGGTGAGGCGGGTTGCAGGAAAGTATATTTAGTTAAAGGATGGAAAGTGAGATTGAAAAATATATACGAAAAAGACAAAAAACAAAAAACTGGCTATTTACATAAAGGACACTACAGAAAACACGACCGCACTGCTATGCCATCTTGGAATACACCAATTTGTAAGTTGCTCTGGTTAAGAGCGTCTGCTAAATGACGTAAATGTAAATGTTTTACTGTGGATATAGATACTTTTGTACCCGTTTCCTCCAGCATCTTCACAAGGTCCTTTGCTGTTGTTCTGGGATTGATTTGCACTTTTCGCACCAAAGTACATTCATCTCTAGGAGACAGAATGTGTCTCCTTCCTGAACAGTATAACAGCTGCATGGTCCCATGGTGTTTATACTTGCGTACTATTGTTTGTACAGATGAACGTGGTACCTTCAGGCGTTTGGAAATAACTCCCAAGGATTAACCAGACTTGTGGAGGTCTACCATTTTTTTTCTGAGGTCTTGGCTGATTTCTTTTGATTTTCCCATGATGTCAAGCAAAGAGGCACTGAGTTTGAAGGTAGGCCTTGAAATACATCCACAGGTACACCTCCAATTGACTCAAATGATGTCAATTAGCCTATCAGAAGCTTCTAAGGCCATGACATCATTTTCTGGAATTTTCCAAGCTGTTTAAAGGCACAGTCAACTTAGTGTATGTAAACTTCTGACCCACTGGAATTGTGATACAGTGAATTATAAGTGAAATAATCTGTCTGTAAACAATTGTTGGAAAAATTACTTGTGTCAATCACAAAGTAGATGTCCTAACCGACTTGCCAAAACGATAGTTTTTAACAAGAAATTTGTGGAGTGGTTGAAAAACGAGTTTTAATGACTCCAACCTAAGTGTATGTAAACTTCCTACTTCAATGTATGTTCTTTAACACAGTCACAGAACTGAGGGAGTAGAGTCAATTAGTGCAAACATTGGCAGGTTGAAATACAAATCTCTGGCCAAGAGTGAGGAAATGAGCTACGAGACAAGATCTCAGATGAAATCTCATGTCAGTTAAAAGAGCAAATTAATGCATGGAAGCACATAGGCCTACTTATTATAACATTTCAGTAACTGACATTGATTGCAGTTGATTAATGGTGCACAGGCATCATACTTTATCTTACATAACCCTGTTATCAGTGTGCCTCTGGGCCCATATAAATCCAGCTAGTTAGGCTTTAATCACAACCTAGCATGACTTCTCCATGCACTACCATGAATTCTAGGAAAAGCAACAAGGTGGTCTCTGATTGTTTACAACTGTGTTAGTTATGTAAAGAAGATGCTGTGTTAAAAATACCCCCCTGGTCTGCCTCATCTGTGCTCTTTCATACGCAACAAATGATCAATGACTTCCTTCCAAGCAGCAGTGTGTGTCTGTCAACCACTGGTCGGTAGAACAGAACAGGAAAGGTCCCTGGGTGGGTTGTTGTTGCTGATTAGTTAAATACCCAATTCACTCGCACCCTCACTCAGGCATTAACCAATGCTCGACATGTTGTGTAGCCTAGTAGGAGCAACTCTCCAGTGCATTCTCTGCTACTAAAAAACTGGAGCAAGGAGCTAGTTAGCATGCCACCCGAGCTTGACGTACCTGACAGCCTTTCTTGTGGTGAAATCCGACCACCACGATATGCAACACCGGTCCCTTGAGTTCCTCTTTGCCATGCGACTCCATGGCCACAGATATTTGGGCAGTTATGTGTTGTTTTTCACTGGAGAGATCAATGTAAACAGGGTTGGAACAGGCGCTTCTGTTCCTTGAATCAACGTCCACAATCAACGCAATGGATTTTCTCTTCCTCTTCGTCTGTTCCAGTCAGGTTGCAGTAGTAGGATGACGTCACTCAAATGTAGCGCCACCGCTTGGACATTTTATTTCAACACCGTCTTTTTTATGATTTGATCCACGGAATGCATCAAGTAAACGTTGTTTGTTCTGTTTGGGCTTCGTGAAATCAGTGAATTTATTATTTCCTGTAAATATTCATTGATCATAATCAAAAACACCGCAGTGCTGGAATAAAAATAGAAATGTGTGCAATTCTTCTTTAAATTTGTATTGGCGGATCGCCACCTACTATACTAAAGTTTAAGGGCGGTCGGCCTCCTTATTAATCTATTACTCTTATTTAGCCCTGTGTTTCCGCCTACTGTTCTGGAGGCCGACCGAGAAAAGGGCCGGGGAAAAGGGAAGAACCCTACACCCATTACAACCTTTCACTACTTGGCCCTATCTGATCCTACACCTGGCCGGCAGCCTGGGAGGACACGACACTAATTAAACACACCTTGTAACTCTTCTGCAGTAAAATCTCGTACACCCAAGTACTTCTCTGCAGCTGCCACAACATATATTTTCTGTGATCTACGTTCCATTTCTGCAGTACAGTTGATAACCATGGCTATGAACGCTAAGAAACCAACCTTACTGAAGTACGTTATTCCTGTCACTCTCTTTTGGGCTTGGCCTACTCACAGGGATCGTCTTAGAATCCCTCGCCCTGGACCAATCTTCCTCTAGTACTCTCTTGACTGCCTCAGCATTTGACACCTTCTGTACCACTGATCATGGCAACCTCAATCTGCCTTTCTCTCACCAGACACTTCTGATCTCCAGCACCATGGGTACCCCTACAGTTAACACACACCTTTTCCACCGATACAAGACATTATTTTGTCTCATACACTTCTCACATCTAGAAATCTCCCTCCTACACACTGCTGCAACATGACCACTAGACTTTGTCGGGTAAAGACTCTGCATCAAAACTCTGCAGGACAGACAGTGTTTTCTCTGTTTCACCACGCTCTCCACCGGGTCTGCGTCGCACCAAACGACGGGTACTACCGTCTGTGCTCGACTGTTGTAGTCTGATGATTCCCATCGTCCATGTTTCAATTGATTACTTCCGTCTTTTTCAAACTAAACATGGCGGCCACCCCAGCTACAAATCCATCACAGTTGCTCCCACTTGGTTTGTTTGATTTTGTTAATAATTTTTATGTCCAGCTAGCTGTAGATACCAAGTACGTTGTTAACGCTTGAAGTCGTGTTGCGACAGTTACACTTTTGACAGATATGAAATGCAGGAGTCATGTTAGCAGTACCATGTCCGCATTGCTAAGGTATAGCACTGTGGTAAAGTTGGTTTGAGATTCGATATTCGCCAGACATTCGGACGTTCAAACCCCAATAGCTCACTAACGATTTGAGCTACAGACCTTAGTGTCTTTATGAAGAAAAAAATGTGTACAACATTGCACAGATCTTATTTTCCCCGATTCTGACCCGAGTTTAATAATCGCACAGCAACGGTGTAGGCAGCCTAGCACATTGTCAACGCAACAAGTTAGGGACCGTCAACAAAGTGCATGATCAAAATATTCAAATTTCAATAACTCTTTGATCATATAGAAACATCAAACCAACTTTAAATTGTTCAGAAGGGAGGGACACATGCTGCACATCCTTTGTTCTCAATGAATAAATATATATTTTATACAAATTTCTACACGTTAGTAGTAGCAACGATTTTTGTTCTGTGGTAGCAGGGTCGTTTCACCAATTCAGTGCCTTTTGAGAAGTGTAACTTGATATTTTTTTTAAATATATAGATTTCACCTCATTTTAACATTGTCATAAAGAGCACATGTTCAACTTCATAAACAAGTTTTCCCATCTCAAGAGGTTAAGTAAAAAAATGACTATATTAAAGCTACAATATGTAACTTTTTGGGCGACTCAACCAAATTCACATAGAAATGTGTTATAGATCTGTCATTCTCATTGAAAGCAAGTCTAAGACGCGGTAGATCTGGTCTCTGTGCAATTTCTATGCTTCCTGTTCGTTATTGCATCTTTTGGTTTTGTACACCAGCTTCAAACCGATGAAAATAAAATGTTTGGTTATGGAAAAGATATTTCACAACGGTTTAGATGGTACAATGAGTCTCTACACTATGCTTGCTTGTTTTGTCACATAAACTGAAATTAGGGGGCCTCCCGAGTGGCACAGTGGTCTAGGGCACTGCATCGCAGTGCTAGCTGTGCCACTAGAGACCCATGGGGCGGCGCACAATTGGCACAGCGTCGTCCAGGGTAGGGGAGGGTTTGGCCGGCAGGGATGTTCTTGTCCCATCGCACACTAGCGACTCCTGTGGCGGGCCGGGCGCAGTGCACGCTGACTCGGTCGCCAGGTGTACGCTGTTTCCTCCGACACATTGGTGCGGCTGGCTTCCGGGTTAAGTGGGCACTGTGTCAAGAAGCAGTGCGGCTCGGTTGGGTTGTGTTTCAGAGGACGCATGGCTCCCGTGTCCGTACGGGAGTTGCAGCGATGGGACAAGACTGTAACTACCAATTGGATACCACGAAATTGGGGAGAAAAAGGGGGTAAAATACTCCAAAAAATACTGAAATTAGGCCCTTTCAGAAATGGCGCCTGAGAAGATGGCTGCCGTTTTACAGCCCCCTAACCAATTTTTTCGCGTTACTTGTAATTTATTCTGTACATAATGTTTCTGCCACTGTCTCTTATGACCAAAAAGAGCTTCTGGATATCAGGACAGCGATTACTCACCTCGTATTGGACGAAGATTTTTTCTTCAATGAGTCGGACGTGAAGGATAACCTACAGACACCCGACAAAGCCCAAATCCCCGTCATTCGCATGAGAAAGAGACAGAGAATCGTGGATGTAGGTCGGGGTGCCATGTAAGGATCCAACAGCGGGCGAGTAAACTGCCTCTTCCATCAATCCTATTTGCCAATGTTCAATCATTTGAAAACAAACTGTAGACCACCTTTACTCCACACACAGAGACGCATACAAAGCTCACCCTCACCCTCCATTTGGCAAATCTGACCATAACTCTATCCTCCTGATTCCTGCTTATAAGCAAAAACTAAAGCAGGAAGCACCAGTGACTCGGTTAATAAGGAAGTGGTCAGATGACGCAGATGCTAAGCTACAGGACTGTTTTGCTAGCACAGACTGGAATATGTTCCGGGATAATTCCGATAGCATTGAGGAGTACACCACATCAGTCACTGGCTTCATCAATAAGTGCATCGATGATGTCGTCCCCACAGTGACCGTACGTACATACCCCAACCATAAGCCATCGATTACAGGCAACATCCGCACTGATCTAAAGGGTAGAGCTGCCGCTTTCAAGGCGGTGATGGCCTCCGACGAACCATCAAACAGGCAAAGAGTTGATACAGGACTAAGATTGAATCGTACTACACCGGCTCTGACGCTCATTGGATGTGGCAGGGCTCGAAAACTATTACAGACTACAAAGGGAAGCACAGCCGCGAGCTGCCCAGTGACACAAGCCTACCAGATGAGCTAAATCACTTTTATGCTCGCTTCGAGGCAAGCAACACTGAAGCATGCATGAGAGCATCAGCTGTTCCGGATGACTATGTGATCACGCTTTCCGTAGCCGATGTGAGTAAGACTTTTAAGCAGGTCAACATTCACAAGGCCGCAGGGCCAGACGGATTACCATGACGTGTACTCCGAGCATGCGCTGACCAACTGGCAAGTGTCTTCACTGACATTTTCAACATGTCCCTGACTGAGTCTGTAATACCAACATGTTTCAAGCAGACCACCATAGTCCCTGTGCCCAAGAACACTAAGATAACCTGCCTAAATGACTACCAACCCGTAGCACTCACGTCTGTAGCCATGAAGTGCTTTGAAAGGCTTGTCATGGCTCACATCAACACCATTATCCCAGAAACCCTAGACCCACTCCAATTTGCATACTGCCCCAACAGAGCCACAGATGATGCAATCTCAATTGCACTCCACACTGCCCTTTCCCACCTGGACAAGAGGAACACCTACGTGAAAATGCTATTCATTGACTACAGCTCAGCGTTCAACACCATAGTGCCCTCAAAGCTCATCACTAAGCTAAGGACCCTGGGACTAAACACCTCCCTCTGCAACTGGATCCTGGACTTCCTGACGGGCCACCCCCAGGTGGTAAGGGTAGGTAACAACACATCTGCCACGCTGATCCTCAACACGGGGGCCCCTCAGGGGTGTGTGCTCAGTCCCCTCCTGTACTCCCTGTTCACCCATACTGCATGGCCAGGCACGACTCCAACACCATCATTAAGTTTGCCGACGACACAACAGTGGTAGGCCTGATCACCGACAACGATGAGACAGCCTATAGGGAGGAGGTCAGAGACCTGGCTGTGTGGTGCCAGGATAACATCCTCTCCCTCAACGTGATCAAGACAAAGGAGATGATTGTGGACTACAGGGAAAAAAAGAGGACTGAGCACGCCCCCATTCTCATCTCCGGGGCTGTAGTGGAACAGGTTGAGAGCTTCAAGTTCCTTGGTGTCCACATCACCAACAAACTATCATGGTCCAAACACACCAAGACAGTCGTGAAGAGGGCACGACAAAGCCTATTCCCCCTCAGGAGACTGAAAAGATTTGGCATGGGTCCTCAGATCCTCAAAAAGTTCTACAGCTGCACCATCGAGAGCATCCTGACTGGTTGCATCACTGCCTGGTATGGCAACTGCTCGGCCTCCGACCGCAAGGCACTACAGAGGGTAGTGCATACGGCCCAGTACATCTCTGGGGCCAAACTTCCTGCCATCCAGGACCTCTATACCAGGCGGTGTCAGAGAAAGGCCCTAAAAATTATCAAAGACTCCAGCCACCCTAGTCATAGACTGTTCTCTCTGCTACCGCATGGCAAGCGGTACCAGAGCGCCAAGTCTAGGTCCAAAAGCCTCCTTAACAGCTTCTACCCCCAAGCCATAAAACTCCTGAACAGCTAATCATGGCTACCCAGACTATTTGCATTTGGAGGATGGCCTGGTGTCAAGAAGGGCAGCAAAGAAGCCACTTCTCTCCAGGAAAAACATCAGGGAGAGACTGATATTCTGCAAAAGGTACAGGGATTGGACTGCTGAGGACTGGGGTGAAGTCATTTTCTCTGATGAATGCCCTTTCCGATTGTTTGGGGCATCCGGAAAATACCTTGTCCGGAGAAGACAAGGTGAGCGCTACCATCAGTTCTGTGTCATGCCAACAGTAAAGCATCCTGAGACCATTCATGTGTGGGGTTGCTTCTCAGCCAAGGGAGTGGGCTCACTCACAATTTTGCCTAAGAACACAGCCATGAATAAAGAATGGTACCAACACATCCTCCGAGAGCAACTTCTCCCAACCATCCAAGAACAGTTTGGTGACGACCAATGCCTTTTCCAGCATGATGGAGCACCTTGCCATAAGGCAAAAGTGATAACTAAGTGGCTCGGGGAACAAAACATCGACATTTTGGGTCCATGGCCAGGAAACTCCCCAGACCTTAATCTCATTGAGAGCTTGTGGTCGATCCTCAAGAGGCGGGTGGACAAACAAAAACCCACACATTCTGACAAACTCCAAGCATTGATTATGCAAGAATGGGCTGCCATCAGTCAGGATGTGGCCCAGAAGTTAATTGACAGCATGCCAGGGCGGATTGCAGAGGTCTTGAAAAAGAAGTGTCAACACTGCAAATATTGACTCTTTGCATATACTTAATGTAATTGACACTTATGGAATGCTTGTAATTATACTTCAGTATACTATAGTAACATCTGACAAAAATATCTCATAAAGCAGCGAACTTTGTGAAGACCAATACTTGTGTCATTCTCAATACTTTTGACCACGACTGTACACCTGTTGTATTCGGCGCATGTGGCAAATAAGATTTGATTTGATATTCGAATTTTAGCAACCAGGAAATGGCGGAGCGATTTCTGCATAGTGCACCTTTAAGTGCCAAATAAAGTAACAGGGTTGATAATTTCATCTTAAAAACCACTAGATAGCGCTATTATTCCTTACGTCATTTGCCATTGGCGTCCTGCATTAATCTGCACAGCCAGTAATACACTCGTCCCCCGGCGACCGGTTCATACATAAGTCATCCTCCATTCAGGCTGCAAAGGTCTCGGTTTCCTCTTTAACTTGATTTAAAGGCCCCTTGGTGAAAAAGAAAACTGGAAAATATGCTTACTGTCTTAATAAAACACTATTTTCCACCACTGTGCTAGAGTGACTAATGCTTCTTCCCGATGTTGCACACTGCCAGGGGTAAACAACAGACTGCTAACCTGAACGCGGTATGCAACATCCGTAAGTTGTCAGAATGTTTTATTAAGACGGTACGCATATTTCCCCCGTTTTTTAAAGCTGGCTGACCATCAAATTGAGTTGAGGAAACCGACACCTATGCAGCCTGAATGGAGGATGTTTTATAATATAATATGCCATTTAGCAGACGCTTTTATCCAAAGCGACTTACAGTCATGCGTGCATACATTTTTACATATGGGTGGTCCCGGGGATCGAACCCACTACCCTGCCGTTACAAGCGCCATGCTCTACCAATTGAGCTACAGAGGACCGGTACGAACCGGTCGCCGGGGGACACGAGTGTATCATTGAGTCCAGACGATAGTGGAGAATAGCGCCCACTAGCGTCTGTCCAGGCTACCATAAATCCCCTCGTGACGGGAATGGAAACTTGTTGTGTGCAACATGTAGTTGCAATTGAATGCAAGCTTCACACATTTGTAAACAATATTTACACATTTCTAGCCTGTCTATCTATGGGCACACTATGCAGAGGTTGAAAATAGGGGAAATGGGAAGATAGCCTGTGGTGCAACCAGCTCACCTGCTTTTACACTATGATTTAACTATTATATGGTCAATGTTTTCTTTTGAAAAACATATTTAAAAAGGAATAGTTTCACCATATTAAAATGAGAGTTCAGTTCATGTAACAGGGTTGACCTTAAGAAGTAAATTAATCACTGATCACTACGTCATCAATAATAATCTTCAGAAATTACTTTCTCAAAGCAACAAAATAACTAGGGCTTTACAATAGCCTGGTTTCCATCCAATTTTGGCGACAGATTTTCATGCGAATATTCTAAAATCAGCAAAAATAAAATATGCACATTTTCCCACAACATATGTGTCACGTTCGTCGTGTAAAGGATTGGACCAAGGTGCAGCGTGGTATGCGTACATGTTTAATGTTAATAATAAACACTTGACAAAATAACAAAGCAACTGAACGTGAAGTTCTAAAGGCTATACATCAAACAAACAGAAACAAGATCCCACAACTAAAGATAGGCAAAATGGCTACCTAAGTATGATCCCCAATCAGAGACAACGATCGACCGCTGCCTCTGATTGGGAACCACACCCGGCCAACATAGAAATAGATAACATAGAATCTATCAATATTCACACCCTGACCAAACTAACTAGAGACTAACAGGATTCTCAAGGCCAGGGCGTGACAATATGTTTCCACCAAACTCACTTGTTAAAAGGTTGTGCATGATGAGGTAGTGCACGCAAACTGTACTTTATCGCTTAAGTTTCCATGTACCAAATTAAAAATCTAAAGTTCAATGTGTTTCCATCACATTTTCAACTCTACCGATAGTTTTGTCACAAAAATGGTTAATAACCAGGTTTCCATCCAACCTTTGTAAGTGCATGTTGGATAAAAAATGTCACGACAGGCATTGTGGTCTATATTAAATGGTACTTCATTTAATATAACAGGCTTTTAAAATTCAATATTGGTGCACAATTTCTACTTAAAATATCAAAAGGTACTCTTCGTGGAACGACCCAGCAAACGTTACCTGTCGGTCAGGATGTTGCAGCTATGAATGAAATGTTGCTTCTGCAGTTATTTTCTGCATTATATCCGTGCCAGCTAAGTTTAATTTAGCCATTTACTAAGTAAGTTACATTTAGGAAGAATGCTGCCTGCTTGGCTAGCTAGCCAACCAGATTAGCCAATTTAACATTATGGCAGGAAAAAACGGGGTTCTCCAAATCAGGTCCTGCATAGTAACGGGTGCAGGCTTTTCCCCATCACTAACATACCTGATCCAAACAGCTAGTCATAGTCTTCCATCTGGTCAATGATTTAAGCCTCGCTGAAGTAGATCTGGAACAAAAGCCTGCACACATATACTAGGCCTAGCTCTCTTGGACTGTCTGGCACCAGATAACATGCAAGTAATCATGTGATTTCAACATCTCCTCTTTGTGTTCTCTTCCAGAGCTCGTGGACAAATGTATAGGTTCCCGAATCCATATCGTCATGAAGAACGACAAAGAAATTGTCGGTACCCTGCTGGGTTTCGATGATTTTGTCAGTATCCTTTATGGAAATGTCCAACAAAACGTCTCATTATTTTTCCTTCATTGTAATGCAGGTTGTGCACTTTAGCAGTAGTTTTGCAATCTATTCAATTCAAACATTGCTACTGTAGTCATTTATGCTGAACATAAATATAAATGCAACATGCAACCATGTCATGGATTTTACTGAGTTAAGACTTCATATGAGGAAATCAGTCAATTGAAATAAATTCATTAGGCCCTAATTTATGGATTACACATGACTGGGAATACAGATATGCATCTGTTGGTCAAAGATACCATGAAAAAAATGGGCATCACAATGGGCCTCAGGATCTCGTCACGGTATTTTTGTGCCTTCAAATTGCCATCGATAAAATGTAATTGTGTTCGTTGTCCGTAGCTTGTGCCTGCCCATACCATAACCCCACCGCCACCATGGGGCACTCTGTTCACAACGTTAACATCTGAAAACTGCTCGCCCACATGACACCATCTGCAGATGTGAGGCCGGTTGGAGGTACTGCCAAATTCTCTAAAACAACGTTGGAGGCGGCTTATGATAGAGAAATGAACATTCAATTATCTTGCAACAGCTCTGGTGGACATTCCTGCAGTCAGCTGTGACATTGTGTTGTGTGACAAAACTGCACATTTTAGAGTTACCTTTTATTGTCCCCAGCACAAGGTGCACCTGTGTAACGATCATGCTGTTTAATCAGCTTCTTGATATGCCACACCTGTCAGGTGGATGGATTATCTCGGCAAAGGCTAAATGCTCAATAACAGGGATATAAACAAATTTGTGCGCAAAATTTGAGAGAAATAAGCTTTTTGTGTGTATGGAACATTTCTGGGATTTCTTATTTCAGCCCATGAAACATGGGACTAACGCTTTACATGTTGCGTTTATATTTCTGTTCAGTGTATATTGTCAATATATATAGTTGATCCTTCACCCACCCCTTCAGACATGGTGTTGGAAGACGTGACAGAATTGTAAGTACTTCTTTTACCCATTAAATCCTTTCAGATCTGATGATTCAGGACATGTTTTATCCTTCTCCTTGATGACTGTGTGTTTTAGTGAAATCACACCGGAGGGAAGAAGGATAACCAAACTGGACCAGATCCTACTCAACGGCAACAACATCACCATGGTAGGTGTAACGAGGTCATGCTGCTTGCTTAACCCTTTAACCCTATTCTCAACCGGCTGGTAGAGCATGTTTTGACAATGGATTTATAAGTGGATATTAAAACAATCTTCACTTGAACTTGATTGGTCAACTCCCTCAGCCCTCCTGCATCACTTTACATTATTTTGTATATTTTGGGGTTTCTGCCGTTCAGTGTTGTGGCACTCTAACTTTGCCCACTCAGAGGGCTGTAAGAAAACTCAGTCACCAAAGATATAGGAAAAAAGGCAGGAATTCAGTTGGTGAGGGATTGATATTGCACCATTCCTGTTAGTAGAGACCTAGAAGAGTAGGAATATGAAAATAAATGTAAAAAAGCTAAATAGCGGTTAATATGTCAGTAAAAGTATGGTGGACTAAGAATAGGTTACATTTATTTTTTTATTAAAAATACTTATTTTGGTGAAGAATATAAATTGTTGACAAACTATATTAGGCAACATCAATTCGTTAAACCACATTTCATGGCCAATGGGGTAAATTTGTCAATATTCAGATTTAAGGTCGCCTATAAAATAATGCCTATTATAGTAATAAAAAACTGCACATTGTCAAATATCTCAAAATGTAGTCTGAAGATGTGGGAAACATAGTGGAAGAACCTGGCTCATTTGAAATGTACTATTTTGAGGGACATTCCACTATACACCACCTGAAAACACATTAATTTCAATGTAATTGAATATTCATGTTTGGACATACACAATTACCATAATGTGACCTTATTTTACAATGCTTAGCTAATACCTACCTATAAAAGCCATTGAAGCAGACCTAAAGTAATTTTTGTAATATTGTTGAAATAACTAAAAATGCTATGCAAATTGCCATTCGAGTATGGCATTGCTGGTATGACCGTTTGTCTTCTGAACCATCTGGTAGAGAGCTCTGTTATTTCCAAAATAAACATCAAGAAGAAAAAACAACTATTGGAAGTTCTTATTCGAGTTGTTAGTAATAGGAATTTAAGGTGAAATAATTGTTTCAACATGTTTTTCAAGAAGATACAGTTAAAGGGTTAACGGTAATGCTTCCTTCCACACACTGGTATTCGATATTGGATCTTCTGTCTACACAAACACACGTGACTGCCCTCTTGCAATTCGATGGCGCGGGTAGTGGTATTTCAAGCTGAACTTACCAAACACTTGCTGCATGATATAATGATACTGTCACTACTTGTTCTGTTCTAGCTCATCCCTGGAGGCGAAGGGCCTGAAGTATGAAAAAAGAAGCGAAGGTTTTCTGAAACCTTTTTTTATGTTCTTGTGGATGTATACTTGCCTTCCCATCAGTAGTTACTTTAACTAGTTTGTGATCATGTTATATTTGGGTTCTTTCTTTCGGTTTTGAGAAGATTTTTGTAACAAGTGTTTTTCCTAATGAAGCCTTGATAAGGTGTGTACAGAGCAACAGTTGGTTTGACCTTTGACATGTAAACCATTTCTACCATGTGGTGAAACTACTAGTTTTTTGTTATAAATAAATCACAGAATCAAGTGTCATTGGAAATAAACAACCCCCAGTGTGTTCATTTGTAGCTCCTAAAGGACAAGACAGACCAACACGAATGTCGGCCGTGCCCAGCGGGTGGCTGTCCTCTATACTATCTATTGCATCTTAGCCTATGCCACTCTGATAATGACATTGCTCATCCATATATTTATATATTCTTATTCCATTCCTTTACAAATTTGTGTGTATTAGGTATTTGTTGTGGATCTGTTAGATATTACTTGCTAGATATTGCTGCATTGTCAGAACTAGAAGCACAAGCATTTCGCTACACTCGCAATAACATCTGCTAACCATGTGTATTTGACAAATGAATTTGATTTTGATTCGTTTTAGAACGTTGGCCGTCATTTTCTGTTGATTTCCCAATTATTTTACTTGTTAAAATTGCCACAGTTCTACTGCGCGGACGATTGTACTTGTTGAAAATGTATGCACTCACTAACTGTAAGTCGCTCTGGATAAGAGCGTCTGCTAAATGACTAAAATGTTAATGTTGAATTGGCACAGTTCTACTGCACGGACGACGTTCGTTATGGTGTGTCTTGCCCTAGAAGTCAGCTGGAAGTTTGTGATCTGTTAATCACTGCCTGCAATTTCAAAAATGTGTCTAGGTTCAGTGTTAAACATGAAAGATGTGTTTATTAGCATGAAAAAACTGACAAATCTGGACAAAGACAAGCAGCGTTGTTGCTGATGTACAAACAGGACTGATTGGTATAGTAGGATACCCAGGGATGGAAATTAAACAAGTCTGCTAGCTCGAGGCTAGTAGAAAATGTGCCAAACTAGCCCGCCAGCTAAATCCTCTAATTTCAAATATCGCATGGCACATATTTTGGACCATAGTACAATGTCATACGGGTTATTACAAATTGTGGTCTACTAGCCCGGCTGGCCAGTACCAAAGATCATTAAATTCCATCCCTTAGTACACCCCTGAAAAATGTCACATCGTTGAGCTCAACTATTCTTTCATTCCTCCCCCTTCCCTTCATGCGTATCTCAGTACATTGACGGCTTTTCTTCTCCTTTTGGATTAGTCACTTTTTCCAGGTTCTTGCTGATGATGTCATACAGTTCCGCCTGTAGCACACAAACACAGATAGAAACATTGATGAAGTAAGTGCTCTTGCATCCTTTACTGTACACTGGAGCTTATCTTTGGGGTTGGAGGCGTATAGCTGGATCAAAACCAAACAACGTTGTGGGATGTGGTTTCATCTTGACATTAGTTAACTTTTGAGGTCTAAAAACATCTGACAAACTTTTGTTTACCCATTTCCCTTATAGATTAATGATGTTATTAATGATGATAGACAGACTAGTGTTAGTAGTAGCAGTATATAGACTACTATAGTCGTGTATATGGTAGTAGCATCTTGGCTCTGTCCCAAATGGGACCCTATTCCCTATATAGTGCAATACCTTTGACCAGAGACCCTATGGGCTCTGGTGACAAGTAGTGCACTATATAGGGAACAGGGTACCATTTGGGATGAAGTCATAGTCACTCACATAGAAGCCACGGATGTCCAGGAGGATGACTCTGATGTCAGAGTAAACAGCCTCATCCTTCTCATGGACCAGAGAGCGGTAGTCCATCTGATAACAGGAAGAAGGAGAAGAAATATGAGGATGAGTAAGAGAAGAGGGATGTGTCAGACATCAGGTCATAGTTGAATACAGAATTGGGGAGTGTCTACAAATGCCAATTCTCACCACATGAGTTAACTTGGAGGCTTTAGCCACTGCATCCCCCCTCTCGGAAAAGTACCTGAATGACAAAGTTATTGTGAAACGTATATATCTATTTTGTCAAAAGTTATTGTCAAATGTAGGATCAATGTATGATAACCTCAAGGGCTCTAAGTTACTTGAAAGGATGAAAATCTATCGTACTTGTTAATGTTGGTGTGGAAGCCGTCCACTTTGGTCTTCACTGCAGCTATTCTTTCCAAGATTTTCTCCTGGAAGTAGCACATGGAAATGTTGATTTTAATGAAACATCAGGAGAATACAATTCCTTCTGTACCAGTTTAACTTTTTTCATGAATGACCACTTGACCTTAAAGATAACCATACATGTGTTGACCATTTACCTGGATTGCAACGCCAAAGTCATTCCCATCCTCTATTTTGGGGATGAGATGCTGAATCCAGCAGGACACCTAAGAAGATACCAACACCAATGACTGCTACAGTAAATTTAAACCTTCACCAGCCTGTATCAGAGCGTTGGATCTTTCATTTGACCACAAGACGTCACTGTTGCTTTATTGTATTCTTACTGTGATGTCTCAGAGCTAGGATATCTGTATAATTCTTACTGTAATGGTGGTCTTCCGCAATGCTAGGATCTCTGTATAATTCTCACTGTAATGGTCTCCCTCAGTGCTAGGATCTCTGTATAATTCTTACTGTAATGATGGTCTCCCTCAGTGCTAGGATCTCTGGTTTGACTGTGTCAAGCAGCTTCACAATCTTCTCATTCCCTTTGATGAAGCCACATTTTGGAGCTGAAACAGACCAAGGAAGAACAACACCACCAACTGGTAAGTTACCACCACCTGCATCCACATAAAATACATTTATGTAAAATAATAAATACACACAACTTGGAATTATTTTAGAAGCCTATTTTTGAGCTAGGGAATGGCAGCTGCCACTCCTAAATGAAGGTCATGACTTGAACCACTGTCTCTTACCTTTCTTCTTCTTCTCATCATCATCATTCTTGTCAGTCTCCATTTCCTGGAAGGAGAATAAATGTGTCAATCTGTAGCCTTAGCCTACCATGTCAAATATACATTGCATTTAGAAAGTATCCAGACCCCATCACTTTTTCCACATTTTGTTACATTACAGCCTTATTTATTCTAAAAATGTATTAAATAAAACATTTTCCTCATTAATCTACACACAATACCACATAATGACAAAGCGAAAACAGGTTTTTAGAAATGTTTGCAAATGTATAAAACATTTAAAATAAATATCTATTCAGACCCTTTGCTATGAGACTCGAAATTGAGCTCAGGTGCATCCTGTTTCCATTGATCATCCTTCAGATGTTTCTACAACTTGATTGGAGTCCACTTGTGGTAAATTCGATTGATTGGACATGATTTGGAAAGGCACACACCCGTCTATATAAAGGTCCCACAGTTGACAGTGCGTGTCAGAGCAAAATCCATGCCATGAGGTCGAAGGAATTGTCCATAGAGCTCCAAGACAGGATTGTGTCGAGGCACAGATCTGGGGAAGGGTACCAAAACATTTATGCAGCATTGAAGGTCCCCAAGAACACAGTGGCCTCCATCATTCTTAAATGGAAGATGTTTGGAACCCCCAAGACTCTTCCTAGAGCAATTGGGGGAGAAGGGCCTTGGTCAGGGAGGTGACCAAGAACCCGATTGTCACTCTGACAGAGCTCCAGAGTTCCTCTGTGGAGATGGGAGAACCTTCCAGAAGGACAACCATCTCTGCAGCACTCCACCAATCAGGCCTTTACTGTAGAGTGGCCAGAAAGAAGCAACTCTGCAGTAAAAGGCACATTACAGCCCACTTGGAGTTTCCCAAAAGGCACCTAAAGGACTTTCAGACCATGAGAAACAATATTCTCTGGTCTGATGAAACCAAGATTGAACTCTTTGGCCTGAATGCCAATCGTCGTGTCTGGAGGAAACCTGGCACCATCCATACGGTGAAGCATGGTGGTGGCAGCATCATGCTGTGGGGATGTTTTTCAGCAGCAGGGACTGGGTGACTAGTCAGGATCGAGGGAAAGATGAACGGAGCAAAGTACAGAGCGATGCTTGATGAAAACCTGCTCCAGAGTGCTCAGGACCTCAGACTTGGGTGAAAGGTTCACCTTCCAACAGGACCACGACCGTGAGCACACAGCCAAGACAACGCAGGAGTGGCTTGGGACAAGTCTCTGAATGTCCTTGAGTGGCCCAGCCAGAGCCCGGACTTGAACCTGATCGAACATCTCTGGAGAGACCTGAAAATAGCTGTGCAGCGATGCTCCCCATCTAACCTGACAGAGCTTGAGAGGATCTGCAGAGAAGAATGGGAGAAACTCCCCAAATACAGGTGTGCCAAGCTTGTAGCGTCATACCCAAGAAGACTCAAGGCTGTAATCGCTGCCAAAGGTACTTCAACAAAGTACTGTGTAAAGGGTCTGAATACTTATGTAAATGTATTTTCAGTTAATATTTTTATAAATTTGAAAAAAATTAAACGTTTTTATGGGATAGTGTGTAGATTGATGAGGGGAAAAAACGATTTAATCCATTTTAGAATAAGACTAACGTAACAAAACATGGAAAAAGTCAAGGGGTCTGAATACTTTCCGAATGCACTGTATATGCTGCTATTATAATGAATGAGCTAACTGCTATTCAAACCCTAAATGCTTTCCCCAGCAGAGAAGGCCAAAAACCAACTGGAGACGCTCCACTCTACAGGAACTGAGTAAAGTGGGGATCTCCTGGCAAGAGACAAAAGCCCTCACACAGAACAGAGTGAGGTGGAGCATCATGGTGGATGCCATATGCTCCCAATTGGGCCAAGAGGTTAAAGGCAAGTAAGTCAAACAATTCAATCCTTTTGATCTATACTGAACAAAAATATAAAACGTAACATACAACAATTTCAAATATTTTATTGAGTTACAGTTCATATAAGGAAATCAGTCAATTGAAATAAATAAATTAGGCCCTAATCTATGGATTTCACATGACTGGGAATATAGATATGCATCTGTTGATCACATATACTTATTTTTTTAAAGGTAGGGGCGTACATCAGAAAACCAGTCAGTATCTGGTGTGACCATCATTTGCCTCATGCAGTGCGACACATCTCCTTCGCATAGAGTTGATCAGGCTGTTTATTTTGGCCTGTGGAATGTTGAAACTCTCCTCTTCAATGGCTGTGTGAAGTTGCTGGATATTGGAGGGAATTGGAACACGCTGTCGTACACGTCAATCCAGAGCATCCCAAACATGCGCAATGGGTGACATGTCTGGTGAATATGAAGGCCATGGAAGAACTGGGACATTTTCAGCTTCCAGGAATTGTGTACAGATCCTTGCGACATGGGGCCATGCATTATCATGCTGAAACATGAGGTGATGGCAGCGGATGAATGGCACGACAATGGGCTTCAGGAACTCGCCACAGTATCTCTGTGCATTCAAATTGCCATCGATAAAATGCAATTGTGTTCGTTGTCCGTAGCTTATGCCTGCCCATACCATAACCCCACCAGTCAACATGCCAATTGCACACTATCTCAAAACTTGAGACATCTGTGGCATTGTATTGTGTGACAAAACATTTTAGAGTGGCCTTTTATTGTCCCCAGCACAAGGTGCACCTGTGTAATGATCATGCTGTTTAATCAGCTTCTTGATATGCCACACCTGTCAGGTGGATGGATTATCTTGGCAAAGGAAAAATATAATATATAATAATAATTGTGCACAAAATTACATCAGCTTTTTATGCACATATTTCAGCTCATGAAACCAACACTTTACATGTTGCGTTTATATTTTTGTTCAGTATATATGGTCTGTGTCCCAAATGGCACCCTGTTGCCTATATAGTGCACTACTTTTGAACAGAGCCCTGTGGGTAGCCCAATGGGCCCTGGTCAAAAGCAGTTCAGTAAATAGTGAATATGGTGCCATTTGGGACACAGGCATGGTGTATTTGGTTAGAAGAGCATGATAGCCAGTCACCTCATCCTCTGGAGTAGGAGGGTCTGGTATAGGGATGTCTAGAGGAGCTTGGAGAGTAGACAGGTCTGTGATGCTGAAATCCTCCTCCTGGAAGAGAGATAGACAGGAGAGCGGGAGGGGAGAAAGGGATGGAGGGGAGGGAGGGAGGGAGGGAGGGGCGAGAGCGGAGGGAGGGAGGGAGGGGCGAGAGCAGAGGGAGAGAAGAGGGAGGTGAGGGAGGGGAGAGAGGGAGGGAGGCGAGGGAGGGGAGAGAGAGAGGGAGGCGAGGGATGGGTGGAGGAAGAGAGGGATGGGTGGAGAAAGAACGGGAGGGATAGAGGAGAGCAAGAGATGAGGGGAGGGGGAGGAAGGGGGGAGAGGAAGGGGAGGTAGAGGGGAGGAAGGGGGGAAGGGGAGGGAGAGAGGGGGGAGGGGTGAGGGGGAGGGGAGGAAGGGGAGGAAGGGGAGATAGAAGAGGGAGATTGGAGGGAGTTAAAGAGGTAGGGAGAGAGATGAGGGAGGGAAGTAGGGGAGGGAGGTAGAGGTAGGGAGAGATAGATGAGAGGGAGAGGCAAGTAGGTAGAGAGGGTTGGACAAGATATGAAGGATGAAAATGAAGGTTAACTTCACAATGTGGGAACAGACAGTGATACATGGGATGTGAACTAACCAATGAGGCCTACCTTCAGCAGGTTGTCCAGCTGGTTGATCTTCAATGGGATGTAGTTTGAAAACAGATCCTCTGCCTAATAAACAGAAATAGGTCATTACTAACTACACCATTTGGCCACAACAGCATTTCAATTTCTTCTTCAAATGGTAAATGCAATTGCACCAGCACACATCTGTTTTAATACAATAAGGCAAACACATACAGAGACTAACCTGTTGATACAGAGACTGGCGGAAGTTCTCCACCTAAGCCGAAGGGATGAAAATAACACACTTTCTGTCTAAGTGTTGCATAATGTGGAAATAGGTTTGCTAAACTCATACTATAAAACAACTTAAACTCACAAGCACATTACGATCAGTGTGTCATAATTGTGTAATCTATTGTAAACTACCTTACACACCTAAACTCAGGTGGTGTTACAGACGCACTGCAAAAAAATAGACAGCCTGGAACGCCCCCTCAATCGAGTAAACCCATGAAACCGGGGTTGCCAGTTTTGTTTCGCTTTCTCTTTTGCACAAGTAATGGCTGTCTGGCAGAATGACTAGGGACTTTTCCAACAAACAACGGTTGTGCGTAACAGAGAAAAACTGAACAAGTTATCTTTTTTTCAGGCCATATCGCAGAAAAATACGTTTAGTTATAATCTATAGGTGCTCATATGCAACCATTCGCGCACAGTTAAAGGGGAGCATTTTATGTAAGAAAAAACATTTAGCCCAATTAACGCTAGCTGGGTTTCTGGGTCCATTGATGTGATTTAGGCTACATATAGCTAACTAACTAAAGTAGCTTACGTTAGCTCGCTACATCGTGGCGTTGCCAAAAACTCGGCTAAATTAACGCTTAACACTTATTAACAACATTTGCATTAGTTAGTGCTTACCTTCACTGCGTTTACACTTTTTATTTTCAGTACAGATGACCTCGACATTTTGAGCAAACGGTTTAGTGAAATTTCTATCAAGTAAAAACCCGTCGGTGTAAGTCTATTTCCTCAAAGTAGCCTACTTTCGTTTTCATAGGATTACATTCGAAAACCACCTGATCAAGCCACACCCACTGAAATAATTAATTATTTTTAAAAAATTTAGCCGCTTGATATTTAGCACATTTGTTTGCTATTGAATTAAATTGCCATTTAAAATACAGTAGCTTGCTCACAAACTCATCATTGAAGACCACCAAGACCAAAACTCTCTATACAAAACAAATTTACTGGGAACAGTTTAATTGAGGGCACCCACAACAATTCTGTCTATAACACATTTGGCATAGGCATAATTATAATAAATTTACATTGAAGTTGGCTTTGATTGAAATTTCCTCACAAACGAACAGATGATCATAGACCAATAGAGGGCAGCACACACCAAGGTTTATTATATTTCCCAATGATGGATGTCTTCACTTCACCTTACTACTGTAGGACTACCTTTCGCCGCATACCTGCATAGCAGCTTTTCAGTTTGTATGTTTTATGTGCATAAAAATATAGCCTATGATAATAAAATACACATACCATTGCTTGTCAAACTTGGTATTTGGTATTTTATTAGGATCCCGATTAGGAAAGCTAGACTAACCAGGAGGACATGTCTAAAAGCTTTACTCACTATATTTATAGTAATGTCTTCATTTGGAGGTATTCTACCTGCATATACTCTAGTCTAAATAGTCAGAGACATTCTGAATAAATGTTCTACTCACCCAATGAGTAGGCCTAATTCATGTTCAGATCAATAGTAGGACTCTGGTCAAAAGTAGTGCACTATAACAGGAATAGGGTGCTATTTGGGACACAAACACAGTGTAAAATAGATCTAATTGAATTCTCACATTAAATATTTGATTAGGGTTAATCCTTATTAAACCATTAGTTTAGGTTGTGAAAATGACTCCGTCAAAATCCTCTTTAAAATTATTAGTCCTTCAACACACCCAGTGAAACTAAAACAGGTAAATGTGGGCGTTAATGATTCTGCTTAAACAGGTGCCCAAGGGCTCTCTCCATCTGATTAGGAATGCACACAATACCAAGGGTCTGGTACAGTGCTCTTCAAGTTACTATGCTTGCCAGACTGGTGCAACATCAAACACTCATACTCTAAAAAACTTGACACATACGGCCCCTGGTCTCTCTACTGTTGTGGCCTACTGTAATGACCAGACAATAGGTGTTATATGAGGTGAATGAATGCAATTGCTGCAGGATAATTATGCAATAAGGCACAAGGGGGGTGTGGTATGCACAACGCAACGCGGAGTGCCTGGATACAGCCCTTAGCCGTGGTATATTGGCCATATACCACAAACCCCAGAGGTGTCTTATTTCTATTATAAACTGGTTACCAACTTACAGTGGGGAAAAAAAGTATTTAGTCAGCCACCAATTGTGCAAGTTCTCCCACTTAAAAAGATGAGAGAGGCCTGTAATTTGCATCATAGGTACACGTCAACTATGACAGACAAATTGAGAATTTTTTTCCCAGAAAATCACATTGTAGGATTTTTAATGAATTTATTTGCAAATTATGGTGGAAAATAAGTATTTGGTCACCTACAAACAAGCAAGATTTCTGGCTCTCACAGACCTGTAACTTCTTCTTTAAGAGGCTCCTCTGTCCTCCACTCATTACCTGTATTAATGGCACCTGTTTGAACTAGTTATCAGTATAAAAGACACCTGTCCACAACCTCAAACAGTCACACTCCAAACTCCACTATGGCCAAGACCAAAGAGCTGTCAAAGGACACCAGAAACAAAATTGTAGACCTGCACCAGGCTGGGAAGACTGAATCTGCAATAGGTAAGCAGCTTGGTTTGAAGAAATCAACTGTGGGAGCAATTATTAGGAAATGGAAGACACACTGATAATCTCCCTCGATCTGGGGCTCCACGCAAGATCTCACCCTGTGGGGTCAAAATGATCACAAGAACGGTGAGCAAAAATCCCAGAACCACACGGGGGGACCTAGTGAATGACCTGCAGAGAGCTGGGACCAAAGTAACAAAGCCTACCATCAGTAACACACTACGCCGCCAGGGACTCAAATCCTGCAGTGCCAGACGTGTCCCCCTGCTTAAGCCAGTACATGTCCAGGCCCGTCTTAAGTTTGCTAGAGTGCATTTGGATGATCCAGAAGAGGATTGGGAGAATGTCATATGGTCAGATGAAACCAAAATAGAACTTTTTGGTAAAAACTCAACTCGTCGTGTTTGGAGGACAAAGAATGCTGAGTTGCATCCAAAGAACACCATACCTACTGTGAAGCATGGGGGTGGAAACATCATGCTTTGGGGCTGTTTTTCTGCAAAGGGACCAGGACGACTGATCCGTGTAAAGGAAAGAATGAATGAGGCCATGTATCGTGAGATTTTGAGTGAAAACCTCCTTCCATCAGCAAGGGCATTGAAGATGAAACGTGGCTGGGTCTTTCAGCATGACAATGATCCCAAACACACTGCCCGGGCAACGAAGGAGTGGCTTCGTAAGAAGCATTTCAAGGTCCTGGAGTGGCCTAGCCAGTCTCCAGATCTCAACCCCATAGAAAATATTTGGAGGGAGTTGAAAGTCCGTGTTGCCCAGCGACAGCCCCAAAACATCACTGCTCTAGAGGAGATCTGCATGGAGGAATGGGCCAAAATACCAGCAACAGTGTGTGAAAACCTTGTGAATACTTACAGAAAACGTTTGACCTGTGTCATTGCCAACAAAGGGTATATAACAAAGTATTGAGAAACTTTTGTTATTGACCAAATACTTATTTTCCACCATAATTTGCAAATAAATTCATAAAAAATCCTACAATGTGATTTTCTGGATTTTTTTTCTCATTTTGTCTGTCATAGTTGACGTGTACCTATGATGAAAATTACAGGCCTCTCTCATCTTTTTAAGTGGGAGAACTTGCACAATTGGTGGCTGACTAAATACTTTTTTCCCCCACTGTAATTAAATGTTTTGTCATACCCATGGTATAGCATTCAGGGTTCGAACCACCCAGTTTATAATGGCATTAGACTCTGTCCAGTAGTCCACCGACTGACAATACCATTTCTATTTGTCAGGGCACAGCTGGAGAAGGTTGTGGAGGCAGAACTAAGAGAAGCAATAAGATCCTTGAAACAAGTGGAGAAAACAGCACAGAACCGATCCTGATGAAGGACATTTGTGAATTACCTATGCTCCCCAAAGACCAAAAAGGTTTAAGTCAAGTAAGTCACTATACTTTTAGAAAGCGATGAGAGGACGAGCTGGTAGATTGTACTTACCAGTTGGATACAGGGTAATTGCATAGGTCATTCCTAAGACCTGTAATGGTAGGCCTACTGCAAAGTTTGGCCAAAATATGTACTAAAGGCGTAGACGCCATGTCAGTGTTAGCATGGCAGAGAGAGACCTCATACAGTGTGTGTGGGGCCTCTGACACCACAGCTTTGGGGTCCCTTTCCTACAGGGGTCACACTGTTGAGTGTGTGTGGTGTGAGTGTGAGTTAAGGGGTGTTAACAGAGGAAAAGCAGGCCTAACTCACTGAGGCCTGACTAGGACCTCAGCTGGACAACATTTGTTGACTTTTGCCTCGGGCGGTTAATGCAGACCCAATGCCTCCACACTAATCTCTAAATCTGTGTGTGTGTGTGTGTGTGTGTGTGTGTGTGTGTGTGTGTGTGTGCGCGCGTGTGAGTGAGTGTGAGTAAGGGGGAAATGGAGAGAACAAACCAGGGATGTTTAAAAACCAAGGTAGATGAAAACAAATGGACAAAAAAACTGCAGCAATTCAAAGGATAGAGGTAGACTCTGGCTAACAACTTTGAATTCACAGTAGCTGTACATTAATCTAAAGAATAGACTGATTGAAGGGGTAAATGAGCCTAATATTGTGGTTGAGAAAGAAAAGGAGCTCAAGGCAAAAGAGTCCAATATAGGCTCCCCTTCCTATTCAAATGGGAGGAAGCGCTGAAGTGAGTGTGTACCTGAATGTTGTGTGTGTGTGTGTGTGTGTGCGCGTGTTGGTCTCTTTCTCTCTTTTGTGTGAGTGTGTGTCAGAACAATCTAACCAGCCTGTTTCTGTAATCTGTACCCGAACAATGTTTCACCTGACAATCATGGGGCGGCAGGTAGTTTTAACTCTAAATGTCAAATTCAACGCTTCATGTAACGCGTAAGCCATCTGCAACACAACACTGTTGAAATGCTACGTAGGATTGAAATGCTGATATGTCTGGTTGGGTCACCACCACCACTATGGTGTGTTTAGTGATTGTTAGTAGTGCTGGTCTGGGAACCTGCATACTGTGTTACAGTTCAAGGATGAGGCTACAGGATTCTACAGTGTGTGTTGTTGTTGTTGTTATGATATCTGTCCTGTTTCCTTTGTGGTGCACTGCTTTTGCGAAAGTTTACCAACCTTAACCCTAACCGTAACCCCTAGCCTAGCTAACATTAGCTACAACAAATTGGAATTCGTAACATATCATACATATTGTGGTCCTCTGTAGCTCAGCTGGTAGAGCACGGCGCTTGTAACGCCAAGGTAGTGGGTTCGATCCCCGGGACCACCCATACACAAAAAAAAATGTATGCACGCATGACTGTAAGTCGCTTTGGATAAAAGCGTCTGCTAAATGGCATATTACTATTACTATTACTATTGCAAGTTCGTAACATATTGTACAAATGGAAATTAGTAACATATTATACCAATTGTACTTCATAATATATCATACGAATTGTAATTTGTAACATATCATACAAAATGGATGATGGACATCCACAAATTAAAACCATACCAAATGTAACATATCATATTAATTTGAGTGTCCCAGATTTTCATTTACTATGTTACTTCTACCCCTGAGTCCAGGTTGCAGTCACCTCACACATCACCTTCATATTCAGTCAGTGTTATAAATGGGTAACACTCACTTCAGAAGTGTGAATTCTTCTCTTTTTTGGTAATGATGAACTGTTCAGATATTACATATTCTCACACAAGTTTTTTGCCAAGACGGTCCACTAC